TGATTCGACTCCCAGTGATAGAATAATTGGGTTGGAAGGTATAGACAACCTTCTCGCTTAAATATGATTACCATTAAAGAATGCCCATGTACCGTGATCTCTTGAAGGGTGAAGGGTCCGTGCTATATCCAATTACGAAATATTGAAATACGGTAGCTAACAAATTATATCCAAGACAATACATAAGTTAAATCAGGTAAATACACATGAAACAAAGATGTAATGGTAGTACTTCTATTGGACTACATAAGTTTCATGGAGCGTGCAATGCTTTGCATCTCTTTTCACGATCGCGGTTGAAATGAGGCCATTCGTCAAAAGGTTAAGTGACGTAGTAAGGGCTGTCGCAACTAAGTGGGGGGGGGCGCATGAACAAGATTCAAACCCGCAGGCTCCTTGAATGGAGACCTTGGTTGAACAAAAAACCGCGCGGCCGCCCACCGACTAGGATAACTGACGACATCGTCATGGAGGTTGACTCCCAATGGATGCAGAGAGGCCAGTACAGGGCGTACTGGAGGAAAATTGAGGAGGCCTACGTCCAGAAATGGACCAAATAACGAGGCTGATGATATTTTTTTAATACATGTGTCTTTACTGAGGCATAATGGAACATTCTAGTCTAACTTAAGGTTAATAAGTAATTTACTAATAAAATAAGAAAGTATCCAATAACACTGAGAATCGACATTTTAAGAGGTTCAGCGACGTATCAGAATATGGGGAACACTTGATTCGAACAATCTTTTTTAGTTTTAACCCATAGGTATATCGCGATCTGTCCCCTTTTAAAGAAAGGCGTCTTTTTGCGATAACTTTGTAGGATCTTGTGGGGACATCACCAATCATTCGGTAATGTTGTTATTCCATTTGAGGCTTTTACTGCGTATGCGTCTAAAGACGATAAAGATTTATATATGTAAAATGATTAATTCGTTGACTGTTTTAATATACATATAACTTTATAAGTATCAGAACGAAGATAACACTTCCGTATATTACTTAATACCTTTTATTGAAGACAGGTTATTGCTCTCTCCTTGCTCCTTCAAGCAATAATACACCTTACTATATAGTAATAAAGTTAAAAGTTATATAACAATCCTTATCAAAACCCCCGGTCATGCATTGTCCGTACGCACAATTTGCTTCATTACCTTGTAATTAATTTGCCGAAGACTTTTGTGTTGTGGATGAACATTAATTAATTCTAATCGAATCGAATTACGATAAAATGCTTGGAATGTTTTCGTGTATTTTCACACGTTATTTATAGATGGAAATGTTAGAAAACCAAATAATACAACATCGACGCTATTTGTTTATCAACTTTGTTGAATTACATATTTGGTAATACTGATAACATAAATAACCTATCGCTATTAAGCGCTCTCTTCCAGGCAACCCTAGTAAGGAAAAGGCAAAAATAAATACTCAGGGTGAAGTGCATAACTAAATTACAAAAAAAATACAGATAATTTAGACAAAAAAACAATGTGTGCTTCCTCTTTCAATAAACGTTAATGTTTCTTATTGATTAATTAATGTTGATGTGTTGTTTGGTATTTCATTTACTTATTCCATAATAAATTAATCCGAAATTATTATTTATTTGTAAGGGTATATTAAGAGCTTACTTTGCATTGTCTGTTGATGTACCAATTATGTTGAATATATTGATTTGATGAATTTAACTATAGGGGCATATTGTAATGTGGCTTTATTTGTCTGTGCTCGAAATTAAATGAAAAAAACGGAGTTTTCTGTTAAAACAAATAAATAAGGAGTAAAAACTTCGTATTAACCCTCGGGTCAATTTCCCAAAAAAATAACCATAAAATATCAATGTAAGAATTGATAAAATTAGTATACCCTGGCAATTTCCAAAAAATATAATACACATAAAATCTACAGTAAACTATTTGTTATTCAAACATATAAATACACAGTATAAGTAAGTTTATAAATTTATTTTAGTTTTCCACTTATATATTTTCAATAATTATTTATATTACTGTGATATATTAATATTACTGTGTGTAGGTTAAGAAGTAAATACTTTTTATATGTAAATTGGCTAGATTTTTTATATTAAATAAACAAATTATGCCTATACCAAAAACGAAAATTGTTTGAATGTTCTATCAAGGGGTAATGCAAAGCCCACTGATTATTCACTCGTTAAGACAAATATAATTTTAATTAAATGAAACAAACAGCGGAGAGGTTGATTGGGCATTCACAATTAAGCTCTCGAAGAGTTAAACTCGCGCCGGGTTTAGGCAAAGCTTAATTAAAACCTTTGTCTTGGTCTAATTCAAATAAAATACAAGAATTTCAAAGCCTGCAGACGTGTAAAGGAGATGTATGAAGTACGTCTTTGTCTACTAAGATCTTTTCTTTTAATTGAAACATTTTTAGCCATTACAATTTAATTAATAACTTTTTATTTTTTTTACTTGTGTTTAAACTACAAAAAGTATCATGGCCTCCAAAGTGAAACACTCCCAGCGCTCCCTGTCCTGTGCTGCCTTTCAGCTGCAGCAGGTCCTTCACTCTGTCGATCCAGCGGTAGCAAGGCAGACCTACTGGTTTCCGACCACTAAGCTTCCTTCACCTCCCGATCTTGGCCCATGCCCTCAAGGTGCCCCAGCTCTACTTTGGCATTTTTTCGGTTCATGAGCCGTCCTCCCTCGTCGTTTCACAACTGCGCGTTTCTACGGCAGTTGTTGCGGAGCACTACCACTATGTGAAACCAGCGAACCAATTAGACTTAGGGTCCTTCCAGAAAAGAGCGTACCAATTCGTTAAAGGCCGGCAACGCACTCGCAATCCCTCTGGCATTGAGAGTGTCCATGGGCGGCGGTATCACTTAATATCAGGTATCCTGCCCGATGCCCCTGTTCAACAAAAAGAAAATTACCGGCGATCGAAAAATGACATATATTGTCACGAACACATACCCACATTATCTGAATATTTTACAAACTACCTTCGAATTATTTTACATCAATAAATTGGTCTGATTTCGCAACATATTATAAACCCAGATTTATCGCAAAAAGCTATTTAAATCGTTGACATATTGAATCAATCAATGTCGTAAAAACAGCTTACTTCGACGCCGTTAAAACCAGTTCAATGTTATTTCGACGATTCAAGAGTCTGATGGATCTCGAGATTCATAATATAAGTTAAATATAACTTTTCGTCTTAACTTAAATGAGATGCGAAGACATAAAATTAGTTATAGACGTTAGACAATGATTGATAGCACTTATCAGTTATTGTAGTCTTATATTTTATTTTAGAGATATAGTTCATAATATCCTATAGGTATATATCACTGCCGTCAAAAATTTCGTCAAACAATTTAATTTTGGACTATAGAAAACAAATAATAATAAAAATAAAACTAGACAACAAAGTAATGATTACGATACGGGTATTTGTGATGTGCAAGGTCTCAAATCAACTGGTAAAAAATTGTACAGTATATTTTTGAAATATACATAATATTTATAAGCAAATAATTGAGAACACTCAGGCCTGGAGACGTCTTAATTGACTCGGCCTGTTGCGAATGATAAGGCAATCAAAGAGCCCGCGCACACGCCACATTTATTACAGAGATATTACAAAATTTGTAATTTAAATACGATAATTAATCATGATGTTTAATTTAATTAACATTTTTAATACTTCGTTACATTAAGAGTACAAAACACAGGTAAACTACTAAATTAGAAATAAGCAATCTCAACTCTAAACAGGGAAACAATATCGACCAACTTCGCGGCATTTGACAAAATAAAGAAATACGTAATATAGACATAACTAAAATAAGCTAATGTGAAGATGCAAATCATAGTTATTGATTAAAAATCTTTCAAATTCCAAGAGGTTAAAGTGATTTAGTGAATACAATCTAATTATATCTCTTAAGGTTATTAAGTATTACTTTTATATTCTGTAACTTGGTTATTGTATATTAATTTATACATCCAAAATAAAATAATAATATATTACCTATCTAATTGAAACATATCTTTACTATAATGCAATGCAGTGTAATCAGTAGCGCTACAACCTTTTTAGGTCTGGGCCTCAGATATAGCTATCAGTTTCATGATAATTTTGGCAATTTACCTCCTGTGCCTGACACACGCCGTCGACTTTTTGGGTCTAAGGCAAGCCGGTACCCTCTCGTTGTTTTCCTTCACCGTTCGAGCGAATGTTAAATGCGCACATAGACAGAAAGTCTATTGGTGCATAGCCGGGGTTCGAACCTACGACCTCGGGGATGAGAGTCGCACGCTGAAGACACTAGCCCAACACTGCTTTGAATGCAGTGTAATGGACTCATTTATTTTTTATAAATTCGTCTACAGGCATTGTAAAAATCAAAACGTATTTTTGTAATTATTACTCGTATTACATCTAATAGAGGTGTTATACGTCCGTTAAGAAAATTCCCTTAGGAAACATTTCTGTAATTAACTTTACATTGAAGCTTTTAATATCTTGAATCACTATATTACTGTACCAGTAGTGAACGGATTCCAACAGAGAGCAGGAAATGAGTTTTGGATTACTCGCCTTTGAAAAATTCTGTCTGTAGCCGATTCTAAAAGGCTTCTAAATCATTTTATTCACGCTTTGAATTTCGTTATTACACAGGGACCAAATTTTTACTTTAATTTTCTATTTATTAATGTTTAATGATTATTATTATAACTGTTTAGGTTCAGAATTTTGTCAGTACTGTATATATATATTTAAATAAAGGTAAAAATAATTAAATTGTAAAAAAATCCGTAGGGGTCTCATTTCTGCGACCGCTTGATTTTTGCAATTCCATTAGAGAAATTACAGCCATAAAGATTATTCGAAATATTTTTACGATTATAGCAAAGCAATCATGGCGAGATAGTAATAAAGCTATTTTTATATGACCAATAAAATGCCCTTTACCACGAAATTTTAATGTTTTTTATATCATGTACATTACTTGGTATGTAAAAATTTATAAATAGAGTTAAAACTGTAAGTCTTCAAAAGATTATTTAATTATGAATGAAAATAATTCTCACATCGATTCATTCGCAGTTTACGAATGTTTACGGATACTGTAGTCCAAACAAATAAATCTTTCCTGTTTATTAGTAGATTAGATTAAATAATTCGGCTATCAACTCACGGGTCACCAGAAAGGAATACCTTTAGAAGGCCATTATGATGACTAAGACTAAGACCCCCGAGTTTGTTTCGACATTTCTTCTCAGGGCAGTCAGTTAGGAAATGTCGACTTCATCTAGTTTAGGATGACATTGTAAAAGTGATTTATATAGTCCTACTTGCAAGAATAAACTATTTCATTTCATTTCATATAAAAAATATCATATGTTAACCTCCAGTCGCAACTAGCCCGTGATTACTTTGATACGGAATTTAGAACCAATTTTTTTAAGAACAGAAGACAAACGGGCGATGATACATTCTCAATTGCAGAGGGCTCGCGAGTGCGTTGCCGGCCTTTATTATTTGTCTTTCATTGTACATTTTTATGCATTGTATTGTAATGTTCAATTTTACTAGAAACCTATGAAACGTACTAATTCACCTCCTCGTTCTCAGGTTGGGACTGACTCATGATGGGGAAGGTCAGTGTGAGACAGAAGGATTAAAAGGATCTGTGATGGCACCTACTGTATTGGCCACACTTCACAATTACGCGTGGTCATCCTGCTCGAGAGAACAGTTCCATGAAAAATCCGAGTAAGTATGTGAAATTTGTGTTCTTTTTCAGAATCTTACACCTTCTTAAGCATAGTTACGGGCAAATAAAAATATTCATTAGAATAACATAAGCCTTATATTTAAAAAAAAACATTATTAAATACTCTGTTTAACAAGTGTATATTTGCGGTACGTAAACAAAACATGTAATACACAGAGAAGGAAGTATGGTCAAATTAATCAAAGTATATACACTAATATTGAGCTGTCCCTTGGAGGGGGAGATGCGCTAAGCTCCATTATGATAGAATAATGATGATGAGGCGCAAATAAAACAACCAGTTTATTGAGAAATGAGATTGAATTCAAAGGCTCCATTACCAGGAAAGGTTTTTCGGGTTGGAAAGCAACGAAACTTTATTTATATGATAGGCTCGTTTAGCCTACAAAGAGTCCATAAAAGGCAGCACCCATGTTAGTGGGTGCGTTGTCCGCCTTTAAAAGAAGTTTTATTTATTTATACGTTGTATAGGTTGTTTCCTCCAGAGAAAAACCTCTACTGGAAGTCGATTCCACAGCTCGCAAAAACAAATGAAACGAATGCTTATACCTATAGTAAAACAATAAGTGATTTTAATCTCATTTGCCCCATGCTCCATTGTGGGGTTAAAGGGGTCGTTAAGAAACAAAATATACTTATTTTATAGAAAAACACTTTTTTAACGGATTTGAAGTTATGTTTTATTATAAATTTACAATTATTTTACATAATTTTAAATTTAACCGACGTTTCTCGTGCTTTACAGCGTGCGTGGTCACGGTGGTGAGTGGTGACTGAAGACAAAAGGTGTTGAATGTCAAAAAGTATCACAGCTGTAGAAAAAGTTGTGTTATCTGTATTTATTTCCCCGGAGTTAGTATCGACTAAAAGATGGAGGGTTTTGGCTTTCTACCATAACTTCAAATCCATTAAAAAAGTGTTTTTCTATGTCTAAAAGTTATGTCAATAAAAGACAATACTTATTTTATGACTTACACACCCTTTATGGATATGTGTTTTTTATAAATACGTTAATTAAGCGATATATTTTATATATAAAAGAATATTTCTGATTAAATTTCATGACCCCAGGTGAACCACTCAGTAATAACCCATTGTAGGCATAAACCGATCAAGCGAGAAATTGTTTATGCATTCAATCAACTAAAGTTGCGAAGTAGCTACCATAGACACAAAAACTCATATATTTTAAGTATGCAAATATTTTTTACTGCGTGTCAACATAACGATAGTTTCGTCGTCATACAATTTTGGTTTTAGTTCATTCGCATGTCAAAAGTATCGCATTTTTCTAAAATTTTTGTAATTACTAATCGTATTACATCTAATAGAGGAGTTATAGTTAAGACAAATTCCCTTAGAAAACATTTCTGTAACGATAGCTATTCCATTTTACGTTCAGATGGGGCTACCTTTGTAACATTTAGTACGTAGACGAGACAGATACCGAACAATTGTTGCCATAAACATAAAAAAATATCTTAATGTAATAAATGAATCTTTGTTCTAGAACATAATGTTCACATCTGTCATTATGAACGAATTTATATATCCAAAGTTATTCGTAATAATAAATAGAAGTATTTTTTTTATTATAGAAAAAAAATGGGCAGGAGGCTCACCTTATGTTATGTGATACCGCCGCCCGTGGACACTCTCAATGTCAGAGGGCTCGCTAGTGCGTTGCCGGCTTTTTAACAATTGGTACGCTCTTTTCTTGAAGGACCGTAAGTCTGCTCTGGAGACTCTCCTTCGTTGTCGACATCCCCAGGTGCCGTTATGCACGATTTGGTTCGTCGTTTCATACAAAACCAGCAAAGGAGTGGAACTCCTTGCACTCTTCCTCCTTCCCTAGACAGAATAATATATGTTCATTTAAGCGTTGGTTAAACAGGCATTTCCTGGACAGGCCCTCCAATAGGCCACATCTCAGTTAACATCAGGTTTTTAGCGTCAACAAATGAGTTAAAAAAAACAGTTATACGAGTAATCTTTGAGTGATGCATAATACTTGAAAACCAAATGAAAACTTATTTTGCGACACTAAAATCCTTTATACGTTATAGGCGCTGGTGGTGTCTTCAACAACGGAGTCATGATGATGGAGTGGTGCTGGGTGGGGCTAAAGAACTTTCCAATTATGTCTTCACTATGGATGAGCAGTGTCGGACGGAATTCGGAGAAGGGTAAGTGAAATTCCACCACTAAAACAAAATAAAAGCTTTAACACTGGCTCCAACGGTGCAGGAATGCATCTTGAGCAAAAAGTCGACGGCTTGTGTCAGGCACAGAAGGCTGATCACCTAATTGCCTATTGATCATGACACAGATACAGAAATCTGAGGGCCGGACCTAAAAAGATTGTAGCGCCCATGTTTTTTTTTGAAACAAAATAAAAAATAAACTTTTTTAAGGATTTGGTTTAGCCAAACTGTCTCTGGTTTTCATAATTTTAACCAGTTAACTTTTAATCAATAGTTATTCTATTTAGTGACATCATTTGTTTCTTTTGTCTGGAATATAAAACAAAACTTTACTTTAAGTAATATGTCTAGTATTAATGTATCAGCCCCCTCCGACTCGTTAAGTAAAATATACGCGAATCATCCTAGTTTATTGTTAAGTATTAAATATTCTAAAATATCTTTTTTGCGAACGAGAGGTAATACTTAACTAAGTTTTTAAAAAGCTGACTATGTGTCTATTATAGGGGATCTGAAAACCATTGATTGGAATGATAGCCTACGCGCTCATAATAATGTTAATGATATGGCATCTGAGTTCTACAAAATCCTTAACACCTTGTATATTATGTTTTAATTGTATTTTTTACATTTTTTAAATTTTAAATTTCTATTTTTTGTTTGTGAAACTTGTGTTTACGTTAATTGTCACACATTTTAGATGTAAGTTTTTGTAAAATAATTAGTAGATTAAGTATTGTGTGTGATGTCGTAAATAAATAAATAAATAAATAAATAAATAAATAAATAAATAAAAAACTTCATTAGTTCAATTCAACACGTTAATGAGACTCAAAGGAGAGTCTTTTGAGCTTCAAAGAGAACTTGTACAGTAGACTTAGCGTGAACTATAAGACAAATGTAACTTTTTGTCAAAAGGAAGTGATACTGACAAAGTATTGACTCTGAATTTTTAATTAATGGTGTCAATGATTGATAACCTCCTCCTTCCTTCGATTTAAATTCGTTATTATAATCTTCAGGATACATACAAGTATACTTTCACCGTCAATGTTTAATGCAATTGTTAATAGGTTAATATTATATAGGTATATATAATAGGTGCACAGAAACATACTTTTAAGTCGAACGTAGAAGTCGAAGTAAGAAGTAGACATGGGAAGAAATTGGCTGTGCCAAAAATCAATCTGGAACTGTTTAGGAAAAACACCTTTTGTATGGCAATTCATGTTTACAATAAATTACCAAAAGAATTAAAAGATCTTCCGACTAGAGTTTTTAAAAAGCGCCTAGGTGTATTAATTTTGGAAAAAAATGTACTATTCAATAAATGATTATTTCCGTGAGACACTGTAGTTGATATAAATTAAATACATACTTTATTAAATTGATATGTACGATACAAATAATATAAGAATTGACGAATTCATTTGACTATTAATGTAACGTGTAAAATTTCTTTAAACAAATTTGCGCGCCATTGTGTGTGGCAGAATATGCGAACTTACGATTGTACCACCTTACACATTTTTGTACCATATTCTTGCAATAAATAAATTTTTATTAATAATATTATTATTAATTACGTATTATTATAATAAAAATAATAAAACCAGTTTATTTGAAATTATATTTATCGGAATCCCTTCACGGGTAAAGGCATCCATATTTATGTATCCATCTTGTTAGGACGCCCTCTTCTCTTTCTTCCCCTTGGTCCTTTCGATATAGTTGTCTTTAATCCTTTTATCTAAGCATCTTGCTATATGCCCCGCCCATTGCCACTTCTGTTTTCGAGCGTAAACTCAAATAGCTCTAAATGTAAAATGGATGCCAAAAAATACCGAAACTGTCTTTGTTAGTATTCATAATTAAAATTACTACGAATGACTAACACCTTCCTTATTCTAAATTCCAGTAAACGAACAAAACGTGTTCAAATCATAATATTTACGTATTTCATGTTTATTTTAAATGTTCCGTTTATATTTTGGAGGACTGCGTTTATATTTTGGAGGACTGCGTTTGTATTGCGACGCAATTGCAGTACTTTCAATATTATATTTCGTTGACGTAATAAATGTATTTTTTTATACAGACTTATATTAGAGTTTGATATTTATTTAGTATTCTTACAGCTAACATAAATTATATACAACAATAACATGGAATAAATAATATATAAAAGTTACAAATATTTACGAAAGGACATAATCATTAAAAATATATTAAATACGTATTACATGATTCGGCTGTGATGTGTGATGGTGTGAATGTGAGGTTATTGTACATGGGGGTATGAATGTGGGGTGCGTGTTATACCAAATAAGCCTGATGCTGCGTTTCTTCGCTATATTTAATCAAAAATCATTTTATTTTTAAAAATATTATGTTAAAATGATTACAATTATAGTTGATAATTGCGTATACAAGATAACATTACAATAATCGATTTAACTAGTATGTTACGGTTCTGTGTTTGTTTAATTGACCAAAACAAGTAGGTCATCGGCCTTTTTTGAGGACTCGACTAGTGTTGCTTGTAATTCGCTTAGTACTACTAATCGACAAAGGGAGACGACAATTATTATCCTGATGATGAGAAAATCTATAAATGAGAATAGACAAAGTTAGAATCAGATTAGCTTCAAAGTTGTCCGCTATAAAGTACACGTGCTAGGTCACTTGACACGTGGAAGCCTTTATAACTTTATGATAGTTTTAAAAGGTCATTAATTAATGGGTAATCGAAATATAGAGTTAATAGCTTTCTGGCATAATTGGATATTCTACATTTAAATACATACATACGCATATGTCGCCGCAATATTAAAAAAAATACTGCTGGAGCCCACAAACATCACGTGGATAGTGAGAAGACTGAAAAGGACAAATCCATTTGAACAAGTGAATTAGTGTTAGTGCACGTTAGTCTTAAGTGTAGACAGTGAAAAAAAAAAGAACACAAGAACGGAGTGTCTTCCATTTATTAGAGACTGTAAGTAGTGTAATTGGACACTTTCTTATGTAAAATATTCTTATTAGTAAATTAGGTTAGACTTAAATTTCTCATTATTAAGTTAGGCTAGATCGTAATTTTCCATGATGTCTTAGTGAAGACACGTGTAATAAAAAAAATACATGCATATTATTTGTTAAAATTGTAATAATTCGTTACGCGACGGATTTTAATAAACAGTTATAAATTTAAAATATTCCCAATCTCTTGTTTTGTAGGTTCCTCCATTAACGAACTCTTGAGTCTTGTCCATTAAGACTCTAAAGTCTTGGACGAACTTTTAATTCTTGAGAGGATTTATGTACCTTTGGATATACACCAAAAAGACCACATTAGGGATTGCCTATGGCTTTTCTTATTAGGTAAGGTTCGGGGCTCCTGAAAGCATTATGAACATTTGAAGCTTTCAAAAAGCACAAAAGCGATATTTAATTGTGTTAAACGACTTTATAGCTTTTAAAAAGAGATTTTCTTACATTAGAAATTTGTGTCTATGTAAAAAAATTTAAAATGAAAGAAGAAATGTTACATATATCAACTCGCAAATCGATGTTAAATTATTCTCATATTCGTGAAGCAACGATAAATTGGTCGTACGTATTGGGAATATTCAGGGAAATGGCCTGTCATGCACGTTCAAAAATATTATGACAGTTCTATATTCTATATAATTTTGGCTGTATTTTCTTGTACTTTACAAAAATATGTAATTGTTTAAAACATTGACGATTTCAAAGAGTATCGCTTTATTGCCAGTTCGTCTCGTTCTTCGCCCTTGATTTGAGAAGTGGCAGTAAATTTTTTTTTGGAAAAAAAATACCGCCTGCGAAGTTCAGCAACAAAAAATATCACTTTAAATATGTTTTGCTTAATTAATTTATAATATAAAGCAAATAAGGTATAATTTTCAAGAGAATTCTAATTCAATACTGCTATAGGCGATTCGCTTCCTCGGCAAAACAATTGTTTTAACCCTGAGGCAAACGGGCAGGAGGCTTCCCTGATGTTAAGTGATACCGCCGCCCATAGACACACATTTCCAGAAGGCTCGCAACTGCGTTGCCGGCCTTTTAAGAATTGGTACGCTCTTTTCTTGAAGGACCCTAAGTCAAATTGGTTCGGAAATACTTCAGTGGGCAGCTTAAAAACGCTCAGTTGTGGAACGACGGACGTCGAGGTGATACGGATGGTATTTTGTATTCTGCCATGATGTCCGATAATGAAACTCAGCTGCAGGTATTAGTCTGAACAACTCTGAACACTCCCCACATCTCTCCGCAACGCCAAGGAATTAAGGCGCACGGAAAGTGAATCTATTATTATATATATAAAAGAAAAATGGTCTTCGTTTGAGGCTCCTTCACGCCTAAACCACTGATCGTATCGACATGACTACCACCAGTCGATGCGAAATTTTTTCTAGATGGTTTATGGCTATTTATTTATTAAGCTGTTTACTTTTATGAAAATTTATCCATACGGACTTCACCGCGGAAACATTCGGGGAGGCTTCCTAGAACCTCTAAACGTCAACATCTGTTAAAAACTCGATTTTCGAAATATTTCAATTTTCTTAGCGGGAAGTTAAAAAGAAGAATAATAAAAATATGAAAAAAAATAAAATAATGAAACATAAAATTTATTTTAATTCGTCCAGCAAAGCGGGCGCGAAACGGCTAGTGGTCGTATAAAATAAAGTACATATATAAAATCGAAGTAGTGGAAAATATTTCGCTAGTAAAATTAACTCAAAACATTAGTATTATACATATTACGTTTACTTCACTTTAGTTTCTAGTATCTTTCTTCACCTTTCTGTTTCTTAGTTATCTTCTAGTATCGGCAAACCATGCCGAAAAGATCGCTAAGATACGAAAAAGCCCGCCGCGCAGTCTATAGACTTATTACCTAAAGCCTAATATATTCTTGTGTCCAAGGAAGTGTTAATAATATCTCATTAAAATATCTAGAAACATATTTATTTCCAATCGGATACATTGATATAAATTAAGCCAACGAGATATGTCAATATAATTCGGATTGCGCCTGGAACGTATCGCTTTCTGACAGGAAAAAAATATTTTATTTCTTCACCTATTAAATGACTTTTTATATTTATTTATGGGTGTAACGTGGAAGGTCACTAACGACATTGCGCACCAGCTCCAAAGGGTCGTCAACCCGAGGAAATCTCTAACGAGCAACTTTGGGAGCGCTGCCGAGATTCTCAGATTAGCCAGCACATCAAGCACCGCAAGTGGAAATGGATAGGCCATACACTCCAAAGAGATTCCAATTATATCCCCAAGCAGGCGCTTGATTGGAACACGCCAGGAATGCGAAAGCGTGTCCGTGCCAAACATGGTACAATTGCAGATGAGGCAATGAGAGCCGGAAAGACTTGGTGAAATATGAGGCCCAAGACCGAACGCGATGGAGACTAATTGTGGACGCCCCGTGCCCCATCTTGGTGTCCAGGACATTAAGTCAAGTTATATGTCTATGAAACAATGTTTTTGTTATGGTTTCGTTCATTTATTTTAAGACCCGATTTCAAATATTTAAATTAATCTTTCTCCTGTAACATAAAAAAGGTGTTACGCAATGAGGGATGAAGTGTGAATGAAAGTAAAAATAACTTCCAAATATTTCTTTACTTGAAATGTCTTTTAATACAAGTACAGAAATCCTCGGAGCAGTGAGATCGCTCTGTGAAGCCTGCGAAGTGCCCAGGAGATTTCTGGAAGGAGCTAGGCTGGCCTAGTTAGCCAGGACCTTACGCACAACGGACCTAATTAGAGTCTAAGTGCGGAAACTGTGTCCACCAACCTTTAACCTTTTTTGTCTTTTAATGAAAATAGCGTAGGTTTGCCATAGCGAAAATTGAAAACAGCAAAATATTTATTCAAATAAAGAGGTTTAAAAGCACCGCACAAGAGCACTCTTTCACTTAAGTGTGCAATCTCGTTTTTCTTAAGAGGCAGATAGTCAGCATTTTCACAGAATAAATGCTACAATTACTTTGTGGAAACTAAAAATTCCCGACACTTAGATGAAAAATCAAAGTTTCTTGCTTACGTATTTTATCGTTTGGATAAGAACGGTAAATGTTGAAGTTCAGCTCCAAAGGATCGTATGTAAGATGGATGAGGTGCAATGTTCCGTAAGAATTAGAGTCGATATATATTGTACATGATTCGATCGGTATTATTAGTATTGTTCAGTACTTTATAACATGCGTGTATTAAATCAATGGCGATACTTCCTTTTAATATCTGAGCTTCAGATTTCTGAATCTTATTCATGATCATTCAAGTTAGTGATCAGGTTCCTGTGCATGGCACACGCCGTCGACTTTTGGGTCTAAGGTAATTTATTATATAATCTTCTTAATTATTCGAAGTTATTACGCTATGTATTTCACGAAAGTTATCACGATTTATAACGAATAAAACAAATAGATTTGCTTTCTTATCCATTACAGAAGGGTTTATTTAAATGTACTTTATTCACGGGTAAACCAAAGTACAGTATAGACATGTTTTTACCTCATGGGGTATGAGGCAGACACATTTCTGGGTTGGTATCATTACTTTTAAACGATCAGCCTGTGTACTAGGATCATTTTCTCTCTTCAGTTATACGCTTTATTTCAACCACTAAGACACGAAGATAATTTCTATTTACCGAGTCTAATGTTACCATTAAAATCGCCGCATTTAACCACATTTTTAGAAACATATTTCTGTTTTAAAGTTTATATGAAAACCCACTATATCATTTCCGAACCAATTCGACTTAGGGTATTTCAAGAAAAGAGCGTACCAATTCTAAAAACGCCGGCAACTTGCGACCATTCTGGCAATGTCCATAGGCGGTGGTATCACTTAACATAAAGTTTTCCTGGCGGTTTGCCACCTATTATAAAAAAAAATTAAAAACATAATAGCCTCGTAAATTCTCTTAGGTACATCTTTACATTAAGGTTAATTTTATATTATCTAAGTTATAGTAGATGCTTATTAACTATACAAAGATGCAAAACTGCGATTTATCCATGACCTTCATAAAGCAATTAATAAAAATGACAAAGTAAACGCAATTAATAACAAACCAAGATAGAAGTTCACACGTAATGGAATAGCAAAGTGAACAAAGATCAAAAGAGCTGAATTGAAACCGTAAATCATTCGTTTATCAGTATTTATGGGCTGTGAGCACTCCCGGTCGCATCTGCTTTGTATTTTACATTCCTACTGTATTTAATCTATGGCCTGAATTGACAATTGACAGGTTTTATCTTACTTTTAAGTTGCAGCATTGATTAGTTTCCACTTTCATATTATAGATCGATTTTGTCTGCCGAAATTAGGTCAAACGGGTACATAAACCATACTAAGCGTCGATTCGGCTTATTAATAGCTTAAGAACTCTTGAAATAAAGACCCAAGAAAAACAATTCATTAAAAAGCGTCTGGCAAACGTTTTATAGATATCCACAAGGTTTCACTTCAATTCATTGTGCTAATAATACAATATAAATTTTAAATAATTTTGTTATTCTCGAACCGTTTTTTACTGCATTCAATTCTTTGCATGTTACCTTCGAAAGTACAGGAACGCATTTTGAAATCAACTACACAATGGTATCTATTAAATGGCCATATGGGTGATACGATCCATTGCCCCACGCCTATTTGGGATACACCCAATTGTTTAGCATGACTCAAATAAACGGAACATGGCCGTAATTATAGAGAACAACTCACTTTGTCTATGAACAAAATTGGTATAACAATAATTGTTACAACGCGTGAAGTGATTTTTAAGTGTGTGTACAACATTTTTTCTCTGAATCAGTCCGGCACAAATCACCGCATAAATGAAAAGCCGAACGTGTCTTCACAATATGACTCGTCATACAGACTATTTGTTAGTCTTGGTGTTAGGGTACAAAACATATTTCTGAGCCCGTTTATTATTTTAGAGATCAAATATTTTTTTTATCTATAGGTACTAAAAAAATTACGTTTTATTGCGACAATAACAATTGACGCAACAATTTAAAAACACGATGAACGAAACTCCAATAGATTGCTAAAAATAATTACAAAACGACATTTAGAGTTTGTTATTTTATAAATGTTCTTCAAAACGATTATTTTAGTCTCATTCCTAATTAAAGTCCAAAATGTTCTGATAAAATTATTTGTTTAGGAATTCAAATGACAAGCCAAAACTTACGTGTTTTCACAGACTAACGAACTCTCATTATTACAAATTATATAAAATGTCAGTTTTCACAGATAATTACGAATAAACATTATCACGTAAGAAATATAATTATTTCTTTATAAACACAAAATCAGGTTAAAAACAAGCTTTATATATAATAAAATAAATAACTGAATCACACCAGTATCAATGTTAAATTCTTGTTCACCCATCACGAGCCATCTGCTTAATGTGTCGGTTTCATTAATACCAATTATAAAAGTGACTTGCAAAAGCTTTGTTAATACGAAATTAGCTTCAATAAAACTGTATCTACTACGTTCTATTAAAATATACTTAGTATACCAGTTGGAGTATTAAAAAACTTAACTATTGATCCCTATTAATCCCGTGGTTAACACTAAAATGGGCAAAATCAAGCAAGTCTGTTTTTGTTTCCAGATCTTTCTTATCTATTCAGAGATCTTTGTGATATCATAGCCGAAAAATATACCTAGAGATACCGATATCCTGTAGGGCTATTTAAAATTCCAAGTAATTTTCTCTATCAGAGCACTACATGTGATATTTTTAGACTTCTCGATTATTTGATTATTGTTATCATTTTTATTTCGAATAAATTATCAACGTCAAATCAGTGATTCTATAGTCTTTGTTAATAACAGAAGTAGTTACAATAATGAACCAATGGCCACAGAGCTTCTAAATGAACAGCATCGAAGTCAAATCAGTTCAAAATCTAGTCTATATTATATAATTTCAGCAATGTTTGCAAATATTTTATATTCAATTTACTAGCAGTTGCGTTTGGAACTGAAAGACAATCAATATAAAACACTAAAAGTAATCATTTGACACTTTTTCCACGACTACTACTGCCGTTCAACTTCGTAGTCTGTTCGGGTTCGGTTGCCGAACAAAGTGACACGGTAAAGTTAAAACTATTGCCATTAAAAAAAGTGTCACGGAACTTGTTTATGACAAGTTCCGGTTATTATTACAGGTTACGGTTACACAGTTTGGTACGGTCTTCAACCCCTACCCGAAACAAAAACCCCGTAGTAGGAGGATGGTGGATACCAATCACTATAGGTAATGTAGGTAGGTATAGGCCCAAACGGAGGTCCGAGTCTGGCAGGAGCCGCTTTTGCGCTAGTCGTGGGAAAAGGTCCATGCCGAGGTGATCTGTCAAGGCCCTTCACGACAACAGCTAGATTCCATTACTCAAAAAAGATACGGTCGTCAGTTCGATTGAGAGGTTTGCTAAGTAGACTGTGAAGTCGTAATCAAATAGCTAATGCACAAAACATTTGATGACGGCAGCGATAGCACTTCTACTCGTATTTTAAATAATACAAGTTTAAAGATGTGTCATAAAATATAAGATCAATAAGAAAATAATTAAATAAATAAATTTAAAAAAAGTTTCATAATCAAATATAAGATCAAAAAATTAAACATATTTAATTTTGCTAGAATGGTCTTCTGAAATCAAAAAAATGTCTCTGTATATTGTATTCTAAAGCAATGGAATTGGAAGACCGAAAATTAATTCAGTTCTTAACATAAAATGTCAGTAAAACCAGACAAACATTTCCAGATTAATATGGCCATTATTAACATGAATATTTATGAGTGTGAGTGAGTAAAATGTTTTCAATGCGCTTTTAACCTAAATTTAAGTTTTGACACTGATATTTTATTAGCATTTGTGCGCTAATTGTGGCAGTGACCCACAAAATATTATGGGTACGATAAATTGCTAAGAACATTACATACTTAATTTTATTTTGTGACATTAATGTATCGTCATATATCGTCCTATCTCTTCGTTGTATTTCTGCTTCCCTTAACATTTCTCTGTATTTGGTATATTGAATTCATGTTTTTTACAGATATAAAAACCAACGGCTAAAATAATAATTTAGATCACTTAATATACAATAATTATGAACGTCAGTAAAAAAATTAATGCTTCTAAATTTACATTTACTACCATGGCGAAGATCGAAAAGAATTGGCAATAAAATCTCCGTCACTCTAGTAGATCGCCAAGGTTTTTCTTTACAAATTGTTTGTCCTGAAACCATTATGCCTCATATGTTAAAGCAGTTATTATTGTCATTAATTAAATAATTATTAATAAATAAGAAAACCGAAAGCTTCACAAGGCGCAGTGAAGTAGGAACATGCTCTTACATTATTGTGGGAACACCACGCAAACACATATCAAGGGGAATCAATTTGGTGAATGTATTTTGTTATTATAACGATATATTATATATATCGTTTGCGTTTAAGATATTTGCCTAGTGGCTTGATCGTTGGCCTAGTGGCTTCAGCGTGCGACTCTCATCCCTGAGGTCGTAGGTTCGATCGCCGGCTGTGCACCAATGGACTTGCTTTCTATGTGCGCATTTAACATTCTCTCGAACGGTGAATGAAAAAATCGTGAGGAAACCGGCTTACCTTAGACACAAAAAGTCGACGGCGTACGTCAGGCATAGGAGGCTGATCACCTGCTTGCCTATTAGATAAACCAATGATCATGAAACAGATACAGAAATCTGTGGCCCAGACATAAAAAGGCTGTAGCGCCACTGATTTATTTTTTAAGATATTTAAGAATCAACTTGATTGCCCCAACCTTTTAACTAAATTTAAATTTTGTGTACACTCTAGATCCCACCATCCCATTTGTGCCTACCTTCGAACACGTTTTCGTCATGACTCACCAATATCAAGATTGAGTATTGTGATAAATGAGTTAGGTCTGGATAAAGATAGTTGCTCCCCTCATACTTTGAAATCAATTTTCATTTTTTTCATGAAGCTTTTTAATTCATGAAGCTTTTATTCTCTTCGTGTTAACAAAAACTTTAGCCTATAAGTGCTTGTCACACTAAATATAGTATTTTATTTTTCTAATAAACCAATGTATGAGTATACCGACAGTCAGTAAGCTTTTGTAAATTAATAAATTTATGATCAAAATATTTTTAGTCTTTACAGATATTGTATTCAATTTATATAAAAATCTTTTTTTTGACCATTTCTCTTCTACCTCGTAATTTAGCTACTTATATAATATTAATTGTGACTGGTTAATTTTATCAATTGTGATTAAGCTTTGGATTAGCTTTTACATAATTGTTTATATTATTATTATCTATACGAGTATATATAGTTAGTTATAGTTAATGTTTCATGTTATTTTATGTTCTTTTTGTTAATTATTTATGCACTTCTTGTACTTTACCCTCTGTAGGAGTTTCTTTTTTATAATTTCTATACTAGGGTTGCCTGGAAGAAATCGCTTGTTAGCGATAAGGCCCGTTGCCTAATAACTAAGGTAACTTTTTTTGTTATAATTTTGTAAGGTACCAAAGGGTATCTAATTAAATAAATTGTAATAAGTTGTCCTTTACCTAACTGTTAGAGTTGACAGACCTGTGCTGTTTTTCTAATTGTTCACAAATATTTCAGGTTTTCCATCTGCAAATCTGTGAAGATAAAATCACCTTGTGCGAGGCTTTGGTGTGCCCATAAGACGATGCCACACGTTTGTCGATCTAAGCGCGCGCCACCTCTCGAAGGAACACCTTGTGGAGTGAATCAGGTAACGATTATGGATAACATATATATTTAAAACTTTTTAACGCAAATTTATTATGTAAATATTCGAAATAATAAGTATTATTACGCGATTGAAAACGTCACCATATTCTAGAGCTAGAAGACCGGCAGTAGCTCTAGGCAGAAGATAAGTAAATGCTTCCAATTTGAAGTCACTCCACATGACAGCACCACAGAACATATATATATATATATAGGCTGATTGCAAATACCCGCAGAGAAAAAAAAATACGCGATTTATTTCGCGAGTACTACGTGACCATGATCCAGTAAAACGTCCATTTAAAAATAATAAATTAGCCATCTGCGTACCAAAACAATTACGCTGGAAAATCAAATCCAGATTCCTTTTAAGTCCTGAAGAGATCAGTATACGAATCCACCACTAACCCATAAAAACGGTCTGTTACCTTATCAAGAACATGGGCATTTTATGTTTCCTTTAAAAGCGCCGCATTTACAAATAACATATTTTTCTCAGTTATTCAAAAGTCTTAAAAGCCTCGTAAATAGGATACACACACGATTTAATCTTAACATTAAGGGTAATTTTAATTCCACTTGAATTCCTTATCTAAGTTATAGTAGATCCTTATTAAATAGTAATTATGGCGCCGAACGAAATACCTTCTGTGTATTTTAAATGCTTTAAACGAAGCGAATATATTTACGCTTGCCGCTTCGTTTAATAAATGTCTGGGTTTTCTCATTATTGTATATAACATTATATGTGTAAAATGTTTATTATAAATACTATTCAACTTTAATTTTGCATGGGTTATATATTCGCTTATCTATTTTATCCTCCTTATATAAAGATATCTGGAAGGGTTGAAAGAAGTCCTTAAACAAGAGGGGTATCCACGGTCAACTAACACATTACTACTAACATTTAGCTATAAGTGAATAATAACAAACGAAGGATTATGGAAATAAAAAAAGGGTTAATTAATTATATATTTTTATTCTAATTATTGTCCAAGTTGGTGTAAGTATCTATATAATAAAATAAAGTCTCACACAGTTCCACTATTTATAACTCAAGAACGTCTAAACCGAGTCTGTAAATTGGTGGTGGAGGGGGAGCTTAGAACCAGGAGACGGACAAAAGATACTTTTTATACTGTTCTGTTGGACGTAACATAAAACGTGGTATAACAAAACGCAACAAACAGAGGAACGAAAAATTTATCAGTCTAGCCGTTCATTTGTTACTTCAATTTCCGATCCATCTTGCAATCGCTACCATTAACAAACCACAAGCCAATCTTTGGTGTTTTGTGATCTGAATCTAGAAAATCAATGTTATTCCCGTGGCCAATTATATGTGGCATTTTCACGGAAATACCATCTACGTTATTTGTTCTTGCGCCTGATATTAAAACAAAAAATGTCGTCTATCACAAGGTGCTTCACTGAAATAACCAAAATACCTTGTCAAAAAATAATTATTAAAATATTTTTATTTTAATAAAAAATTGAACTTGATAAAACATAAAATCTGCTCATTTATTGCTTCTAGTTCGCCGGGTCAGCTAGTTATGAATAGGTATTGAAAAATAGCAAGTGATGTAACCTAATGTAACCATGGCAACGGGCTTTTAGAAAAATCTTCCATATAGAGAATTGCATATGCATAACATTGAACATTCTATCAGCGCTCACTCTGTGTGTACGTGTGTCTGCATAAATTCGATGTATGAATACATTGTATGAAATACCACGGGTTATAAAATGATTGGAGCTTTAGTTTTGTAATAAACTTTATAGTTTTAGTTCTGAGGACTTTTTATGTAGAATTAAAAGCTTTTATTACATCATATATTTGAATAAGAATTGTTCGCAACGTGTTTATAGCATAAACATTTATTTACCTATAACAACATAATTATCTGGTCATTGGTCTTAATAAATCAGTTACAAATTTGTATGAAGAAATACAATATCTGATGCTATTGATTTAGAACAGTATTGGTCTAGTGGCTTCAGCGTGCGACTCTCATACCTGAGGTCGTAGGTTCGATCCCCGGCTGTGCACCAATGGACATTCTTTCTATGTGCGCATTTAACATTTGCTCGAACGGTGAAGGAAAACATCGTGAGGAAACCGACTTAGACCCAAAAAGTCGGCGTGTGTCAGGCACTGGAGGCTGACCTACTTGCCTATTAGATTTAAAAATGATCATGAAAAAGATTCAGATATCTGAGGCCAAGATCTAAAGAGGTTGTAGCGCCACTGATTTTTTTTTATTGATATATTGTCCCGTAAAGAGGAATGAGGAGGATATAAATATTGTCAATAACAGAAATATCCACTACATCACAGAACACCAATCAATCAAATCCACTTGTTATGACATCTACAAAATTCTAATAATGCAAATTTTTCTTGAGGGTAGGACGGTCTACCGGCATTATTGGATTTAATAAACGGTTCTATATAACAGATAGATGTCGCTTTGTGCAAAGATGACATCACAACTTCGGTAATCTTCTTCTCCGCCGTCGCAAAGAGCCTCCATTATACATTAATTGTATCTTCTGAAAAAAACGTTAATTCATAAATTATCATGATAGAACCTTCCACCCTGAACCTGATAACTCGTGGGCATTCGTTTATGTTCTGTTGGTACATACTTTTTCTATGAATTCATTTTAAATAAGTCGCTCAAGTTCAGTTCGGTGGCAGTTGTTGTAGATATGTTCAAATATATGTTAAATGAAACACTTTTTTTGAAGCTGAGTTTCAACTGGCTTTAATTTTTTAAAACATGAGCTAGTAGCTTATAACTAGCATAAAATTGGGGATAATGGGGTCGGTGCCAACAAAAAAACTATTATTCATTGGCTTATTTAAGGGTTCTTAAATCTATGTGACACTTCAATACAAGTATGTTCCACCTTTTTGTACATTATCGGAAACACGAATTATATTACAATCATGAGTGTGGGAAAAACTAAAGGGTTCATTTGGTTATGCTTCTAATTATTTACTAAAATGTAAGTTAACTAATGTTAGGTAACATAACTCTCGTCATTTGTCATTTGTAAATCTTTGTTTTTAATTTATTGTATTATTATTTATTACTAAGGATGTCATGTGGAACATGGTGTAATGGTTGCAGCTCCTTACAAACGTTGAGTAAAACAAGAAACTTGGCGATTTAAAAAAGTGGCGGAGAGTTTATTGCCAGTTCTTATCTTCCGTTCTACACCCTTGATTTGAGAACTGGCAGTTAATGTAAAATTAGAAGCATTTCATTAGTTCATAAGTGTACATTGTGTTACCTACATGAATACTCGTAAATGATTTGACTTCTAACCGAAAACATAAAATATTCGAATAGACGCTATTACCTAAAATCAGATCTCTTTACTAACTCTTTCTCTTTCTGTTAAATTGTGTTTAAACTGTAAAGTAATCTACGTTGAGTAAATAACACTGCACACTGATTTGGTTTTTATCATCAAGCGGGATATTTTATATTTTACTTTCGTGATATGATATATACGCTACAAGAAAAAGAATCCTTTATTATTAGCTTACAGACATGAGAAAATACAGTTTAATTTCCGTCCACAATATATACAAACTGTTCAAATAAATACTCAATTTATCTTAATGACAGTTTTCGTGGAACGCTGAAGTCGGAAAGCACGATTCATCAATCGAAAGCAATCTCGATTGATGATAATGTAATGTGTAATTCATAATTTATTTATTAAAACGTCTGTACTATGAATTCGTCGAATTCTTTAAGCTCATGAAAGAACTTTCCTTGAAAAGATTTATTGAGCTATAATAATAATTATTAAGCCTCGTTTGTTCCTTTAAAAAAGCCCTATTTACAAAAGATACACTTAAAATTTTAAAAAATTATTATTGCTTTTTCAAGGACATCTTAATATATAGGCGTCCTTCAACTTCGACCAAAGCAGTTTCTTTTCTCCAATCATTTATTTATTTATTAATTACTTAAAACGTAGGTATGATCTTACAAAAATGTAAAAGTAATGAAATACACATTTAATACTAATTAAGCATGCATAAATATAAAATATAAAAAAATCAAGTTAAGTTACAAATTAAAAAAAAAATAAAACTTTAAACGTTTAAATTAAACTAGAAGTTTAATTTTGAAGAATACGACAAAACCGCGACAAGGATGGAGGAAAAAATATATCTATATTTTCTATATATCTACCTCTAATATACTGCTTGTGTTCATTTATATATATTACCTACTAGATGACCTGGTGAATTTCGTATAATCTAGATATATTTGTGTCAAAATTTAATAGGTTTTTTTTAAAAAAAGATCAAAGAGATCAGACCTCATACTATGAAACAAATTTCTGCAGACATCTATAAATATATGACGACCGAATCTAACTAGAAATTAAATACTTCCCAGCTAGGAACTGTTTTTATTTATCGGTCCAGCCATTCTCAAGTTCTAGCTAGACAAACTAACAGCAATGCCGAATGCCAAAATCCCCGGAGCTCCATTCGTTATACAAACGTCAAAAAGTTTCTTTAAGACGTGTTTGTTTGAAATAGTACTCTATTCTTTGTGACCTAGCCTTATCCTGGCCAAACGCCAAAGGTCAATTAGACAAAGAGATGACACAGCTTTTCTAATTCTCACAATTACATGCGTCATGAAAAACAAAATTAGAATGAAATTTTATCTTATTAATTTAAGATAAAATAATGCACTCCACATTACTACACTAATTGAGTTTACGTGATTAATAAAATAATATTCCAGTGGCGCTAATAGGGTTGTATGCTGAAAATTGCTTTTCTTTGATGATTTGTGTTATCAAAGACAAGTACTGGCATGCATGTCGTTCATTTTTAGGATTTAAGATATGCCTGTGTCCTTATGCCTTCAGTGTAGGGGCAAATGTTAATTACGCACATATATAGCATTGGTGTATAGCCATGATTCGAATGCACGACCACAGCGTTAAAAGTCGCACGCTTAATGCACTGGATGACACTTCTCTGCGTTAACGTGTTTATATACTCGTATATGTCGCAGTCAACTAGCTTAATTAGCCGTTAAAATAACAACCTAGTCGTTTAACTAGCGGCCTGAAAGATGTTCAGCCAGGTGATCTAACAGCTAGGCAAAGGACTTGGATCGATGTCGTTTCATTACTTGCCTAGCCTGTTGACTGTTAATTTAAATTTAATTCCACTTTCTTCCACTCTCAAACTCGAAATGAAACTCTTCAAACTGTCAATATGGCGTTGGCAAACCACAACTTTGATGGTGTAGTTCCAAAGTTTCACGAGAAACATCAGGTACAGTACTAGGCTGTTAATTGAAGGGCTAATTAAGCTAGTTGGCTGTGACATATATATAAGGAGGTGTATTTAGCAATAGGCTTGGCTTGGAAGCCTAGAATTGAGGTAATCTTTATTTTTGCTACATATCATTTTTACACTGTAAAATTTACAGTTAAAAATACAAAAAATCACGCCAAAAGATTACTTAAAACAACAATAATTAATGGCATTTAATAAATAACATTCTATTATCAGACACATGGTACTACTGTACCATATTTTCCAACCAGTTCCTTCTTTATAAGTTCTTTATCCGCAACTAACAGTACAGTAACAGTGTAAAACAAAGAACTTAGCGATTAAAAAGAGTGGCGAAGAGTTTATTGCCAGTTCTCCTTCGCCCTTGATTTGAGAACTGGCAGTAACTGTAAAATAAGAAGCATTTAATGTACATTCCTTTTTTGACGTTCATATAGGTAACACAATGTAACCTATATGAATAAATGATTTTTGACTTTGACAGTAAAGCAACTATGACGACACCAGTATGGTACAGACTCATTTAATTTTCCTAAATGTATTTGTTTGTATGTATTGTTTTGAAGGGTTTTTATTATATAATAATATTTAAGAAAATATTATTTATAATTAATGAGAAAAAGTAAATTAACTTTTAAGTTACTGGTTTTTTAAAGATTTTTTTGGTAAATTAAATAAAATATTTATTTAACAAGGAGTTTTATCATAGAAAACTTACATATTGGGAAAAAATGCTGTTTTATAGTATTCGAAATATATCTACACACTCGCTTTTTCCGCCTATCCTTAGATAGTGATTCCAGCGATCCCGAATCTAATAATGAATTTATTTCGCGATTCCAAGGAAGTAAGGAAGTTACGGAGAGCCTAGGTTTACGTTAACCCGCAATAAAATGTATATTAATTTTTTGACGTTCATAAGTGTACATTGTGTTACCTATATGAATAAATGATTTTTGACTTTAACTTTGAATATTTTCGATCATTATGGTCTGGAAACGTCCATACACGAAAAAGCTAAGCCTTTAGAACTATTACAATTATACGCACAGTTTAATAATAAGTATTTAACTCATAAAAATTGCGATATATTTATAAGTTATAAAACAACGTGTATGAATAAGATTATACAAGACAATATGGCATCACAAATTTTACACACATACACAGCAAATATATTAGAACACAAGCAAGGGAATAAAATAAACAACACTGTTTCCAAAAATGAAGAAAGAACTGCCCTGCGATTCTGTAACTCACTTTTCGAACTCACACAGCGGTTTTCACAGCGGCGGTCGCGCTCTAATCAGTCGTAAAGCAGTCATTTTACAATTTGGCATTCTGATAGCCAATAAACTACAAGGAGGGACCTTATCTAGAACTACAAGGAGGGACATAATAATAAATTTATTAGGGTTAAGGGAGAATACATTGAAAAGGAAAAATTCAATTCAAATGTTTCATTTCTTTACCATTCCCTGTAAAACATTCAGCGAAATTTTTGACCACCCCTTGTATATCAATATTTTTATCTATGTTAGTAATTAAGTTGTCTTACGACGAGATATAGTATAGTTATATATTATAGTTGTAAATACAATATTTCTTCACTAAACTGCTTTAAATATACTGTGTAAGAGTCAGGAATGCTGTAATATCCGCCCTTCCTCTCGGCTGAACAATAATAATGATGCTTATAAAGAAATTCCTTTAAAGGTTTGGGAAACTTTAAAACTTTATACATTTTGATGGTTAAACTGGATATTTTGTAATTACCTTCTAGAATTTATTGTTATTAGACATAGACATTTATTACTAACAACTAATAATAATAATAATCAAAAAATAAAAATAACAAAAAAATATGGAAAGAAAAAAAGGAATAAGGTATAATTTAAGTGTGTAATGTGTGTGCGTTGTGGTTGTAACTGGCGTGGAGTGGAGCAGACGTGTTTTACAGAGCTGTTTATTCTTGGAAGATTTGTGTGTAAAAGTATATAGTTAATAAAAAAAATAAGAATAATTTTTAATAAAACAACTATAAGAAAATCGACCTCATCGTTCAATTCAGAAAGTGCAGCAGGCTCAAGTGGCTGGGACATGTGCCGAATGGCCAACGACAGAACCCCAAAGTCCTTACTGAACTCACAACCCGGTGGCTAGAGAAAACGCGGTAGACCGAGGCTGCGTTGGTGGGATGGAGTTGTCAAGGACGAAACAATAGGGGTTCGCAATTGGACGCGGGAAGCACTAGATAGATTGCGATGGCAAAGTGTACTTGAGGAGGCTAACGCCCACAACGGGCTGTATAACCATTGATGATGACTATAAGAAAAAGATAAATAAATATTTTTGGGCCGATTAAGAAACTAGATTTCGATTAGATTTTTGTTGAGTAAGTAGATGTACTTTATAACTGTGACGAAAATTTGATTTTAGTCATTATGATCAAGACTCTAGTCCACCTAGCACCCGCTTCGGTTTCCAGAACGTCCCTCCATCGCCTGTCTAGCTCTCTTACTCTTTCCATCTTGTGGCTGCCCATCGGTAGTGATTCTTGCTCTTATCATACGTTACGACCATCGCCAATTAAGCCGTTCTTTTTTCCGCGTTTGTATTTACCCTGATTTTGTCATTACGTGGTGACACTTATCACTCTCCTTTCCATACCTCTTAGGCTGTAGCTAAGAAAAATATTATTAATAAATATTTACAAAGTGGTGTGGAGTGTTCACCCGGAAGGTCAAGGTTTGAAAGTGTATTATTGTCCACAAATTTCTCGGAAACGTAATTTTTTCAATCATAAACAACAGTCAAAGTGTCATCCAAATCAGTTTATCAGGTAATGTTGGCAGGTTTGAAGTCTAACTGTTGTTTTTAAATTTTATAAATTCCTTTTTAGAAGTAATTAATTAATTTTCAGTTAATTAAAGTTGCTTGAAGATTACACACATATTTTTGTACCCATATAATTAGTACCTCGTATATTACTTAATCCTCTTAAGTCCCGCAGCCGGCCAGATGGGTTTAATACACTAAGATAGGTAGGTATATGTCTTGTCTGCCTAGCAAGTCTCACTAAAGTTTATGGTATATTTTCTTTCTCTATTTAGAGTTATATACACTAATATATAGTATTTAGAATATTCTTTACATAGATTTTAATAATAATAATTAATAATATATAAATAGAAAATAAACATATTTAAAAAGTTTGGTCCAAAATAAAAGAAACCAACAGTCGTATTATTTACGAACAGCTGGTTCCTAAACGAATACAACTGGTTCACACAGTACTAGAGTCTGAATCAGGGAAAAAAACAAATTTTCGTGAGGTCTAGTTGACACCATGTTGGAAGGTTTCCTACCATGATATTAGTTAATTTTATGAGAAAAAAATGACTTGTTTGAAACTATAAAATGTTATAAAGGAATATTGTTAAACTATACAGTATTTATTGAACACCTATACTAGAATTAATAATACAAAGAATTCTCTGTAAAGGCAGTCAATAGAAGGAAGGAAATATATGTCTCTCTCTTAAACTGAAGACATTTTCATGAATGAAAGTCTGATTACACAGCCTACTTGCATCGTTATACCCTTTACATATGAGTAATACTTAACAAGAAGTACATTTCAAGCACATTGATTAGGCAATATATAAAAATGTAAAAATTTAGAATTTAAGGTATTCTTCAGAATGTTTTATTTACCCCATAATTTAGTTGTATATACATATATCCATCCAAGTGAGAAGTAATAAAAGACAGAAACTTGAAAATGTTGTATTAGAGAAAAGTCTTTGATGCCTGTATAATACCGTGCCTGATATACGCATGTCAAAGCTGGTCACTCACTGATAAACAATAAACAAACTAAGAGTATGTCAAAGTATCGAAAGGAGTGTTCTAGGTCTGAAATTGAAAAGTTTAGAAATGCTGTTACTTCTAGTAAAAGATCGAAATGGAAATGGACAGGAGAATAGAAGAGAAGAAGACGGAATGCATTCCTCGCTATAATGAAAGAAAACAAGGAAGACAAATAAAAAGATGGGAAGATGATATAAGTAGAGCTGCTGGTCCTATGTGGCTAAGTAAAGCAAGACACCGAGAAGAGTGGAAGCTTTGAGGCCTATCTCCAAGGACAAACTGTAGAATAAAAATTATGTTTATAGTACTTCACATTTTTATATACTAGGATAAGTATTTTACAGCAATAAAGGCTATTATTATTATTATCATCATTTATATTATTTCTTATTATATTCGTCTTTACAAATTGCAATCTTTATTAAGTCATAAATTCCTTATATTTGGAATATAAAATAAGAGATGTTGTTTATGAAAATTATCATATAAACAAACCCTTTAGGCTAAAAAGTCGAAGTAGGTAACTGCAATCAGTCTTCTGGTTCTAACAGCTGTTTGCCTCAACTAGCTCCAACTTCCCCGCCTACTCTCTCTCCCCTTCTCCCATTTCCCGCGCCATGTCGTCTATGTAATGTATGTTACATTCGTCAAAGATACTTCTTCTAACCCTGCTTTTGTCTAGTGAAATAATTAGTAATTAACACATCTTTATTAATTTACAGTGGTGTGTGGACCGCGTTTGTGAAGCCATGCCAGGCCACGTCATCGGCAACAGGAGTGATACCAAAAGTATTCCCGAATGGGGCGACTGGGGATCGTGGAGCCAATGCAACGCTGATTGTGGATACGGACTGAGAACAAGGATCAGACGGTGCTGGTATAAAGGGTAGGTAGTAATAATACATTTGTATACCGTTTTTTAAAAGTATCTATCTCTTTTAGCGTATACGCAATTAGACTAAAAGAGAAAAGAGTTCTTCTTTAAAAACTGTATAATTTAGTGTATAATTATAAACACTAATGTAATTTTTTTTTATATTGGCACCTGCCTCATACTGTGTACTGTCATTAAGCTAGAAATGACACTTTTTAATAATAAAACTTAAAAGTAAATTTTGTTTGTAGGAAGATATTTCATGAACTATTGTATGAGAAATTATTTTACAGAAGAAAGCGGTTATACATAGGATATAGTAACATAGTTGTGGATTCGTTTTAAGCAAATGAAAACCTCGCAACATGTCGCCATAAAAAAGCATTTTATGCATAACATTCAATTATATTGAAGTACTCAGAAGGAAATATTATATTCAGCAAGTAAAGAGCTTACTCATTCTTAAAATGCCGGCAACGCACTGGCACTCTGGCATTGAGTGTCCATGGGCGGCGGTATTACTTAACATCAGGTGAGCGTCCTGATGTTAAGGGTTGCCCGTTTGCCTCCTGTTCTATAAAAATATATTTATTAATTTACTTATAACTGTAGCTAGTAAGGGTAAATCTAATTTTACTATTTCCCTTAAACTAATAAACTTATTAGAAGACAAAAATCATCCCATATGTATTTCACGTTTTGTAATGTAAATAATTAATCTTACCAAATATTATTTATTTTTACACGCCTTTAAACGTCGAGTACTGGCATGGACATTCATTTTCTAAAATAAAAATAAATAAAGCCTATGTTCTGATTTGATTTATTAGATAATTCTGATTTGATATCATTTAAACAATAAACACGTGAGAAGAAGAAAGCGTAAAAAATAAACACAAGACATACACATATGTGCGTCATATTGTTAATTCATTTTCGGTATGGCAACCATTAAATTTAATTAATTAAATTTTCATTGATTGAGATCAAACTTTTATTATTAAATTTTAATTATTAAATCGCCTAGCTATCTTTCTTTTTATAAAATTCTAAACACATTTTATAATATAATTATAATATATTTATAATATATTTTAAATATTACAGTTCAATATCAGAAAGTGCCTGCGAGGGAGCAGGCTCTCAAGTTGCCACCTGCTGGGCGGGTCAGAGCTGTGCTGCAACCAGAGATATAAGGACCGACGTCTGCTTCCGGCAGGCTAGTTATCTAATACCCCAATTACAGGCCGATGGTAAGATGAACTGTACTGCAAGTAAATTACAATTTCCTATAGCTGGTTGCTCCAGCTTAAAAGAGATTAACTTTTTGTACTTTAAAGAGAATTTTCCCGAGTAGAAATCGTTTTGAGGTACATCGAACCCAAGAATTCAGGCTTAACTGACAAGGTTACAATCTTACGTGGTTTGTCTAAATCTAATTTCCACAAGAAGGAAACATATTAACGAAATAGTAGTAAACTATTAAGCGTAAACTTCGGCAACGAGCTCCGACAACGCACTCGCTCGACGCGCACTCTGAAATTAAGAGTTTTCAAGGGTGGTATCACTTAAGATTAGATGAGCCTCCTGCCCGTTTGCCCCTATTTTATAAAAACAAAGTTTTCGCATTGAAGCTACGACACTGACTATTACAACAGCTTTAGATACGAACAATCAAAAACTTATAATGAAACAGGATTTCATATTGTATAATATTAAACAGGACTTTTATTTCATATTATTCATTGAAATTGTGTAGTTTTTGCTTATTAAACATACTACTTCTATAATTTATAATTTTAGAATTTAAAGCTCTGTAATTAAGGTGTACTTATATTGAAAACAATTGGACTAAATCAGTTAATGGTAGACTAATTCTCTTTCGTTAAGCAATAACTAACCTAAATGTTTTTATAGAATCAAAACACTGTGAATCCTGGTGTGTTGATTACGGAGGTGGTGAGGCTACCAGTTTTGGAGCTTTACCCGATGGAACACCGTGCAGCTATGACAGACCTTATGACCTTTGTTTTCAGGTAATTAAGTGATCCTATTAATTTTTTACCAGATGAAACAACACAAAGTACACAGTACTTACACTCACCTGTTAAATGTATTGAATAATTTTTATTTTTTTGTTTCCTTTTGTAAATTTTTGAACCTTTTTGTAGTAAAATGTATTATGTATTCCATCTCTGGCTATATTTTCAGTGTAACTGTTTGTTATTATATATAATTTATGTTAGCCGTAGCATTACGAAATAAATAAATTCTTGCGTTACACAATCAATTACCTTACTTAATTATTCATGAAAACTTTTTCGTTTGAAGCTTGAACGTGTTACTTTAAAAAAAAAACAGTGTATTATTCTTTTATTTTGGAAAATACAACCGTGTACAATCTCCTTAATGAGTTTGGCATAGTATTAAAAGCCAAAGTTTACTTACAACGTCCCTGATGGCTACATACATAACAACTTTCAAAAAATTCAAATTGACTGAACATTTAAAAATATTCCATTGTAAGTATGACGATGATTTCTTTGGCGTCGGGACGTGACGACCCCATCGCCCACTGGTGAAATAACCTGTGACAGAGGTTATTTCATCAGCGCAATCAGTCAACCCCTTCCTAGTGGGAGTGCCATGCTGTTGCCTTCGGGCTTCAGCCAAATGGGCAGGCACGACCGGGGCAGTACCACTGTCTCTCAGAAAACCGGCGTGAAGTGATGCAATAAGTTCACCTTATTGTACTCGCGTTTCGTGCGGTGAAGAGATACTCGAGCCCCACCCCCCCCCCATGAAAAGAAGGTGCAAAAAAGAGAATCTACCCCAGGGGTACCCACGCGCTCGCGGTGGAGAACCCCCCCGGGGCGCACCGGGTCCGCCCGGGGGGGGGCAAACCGCCCATACTCCGGGAAATTTCGCACCTGGGCCCCCCGGCCCCCCCCTTTTTTGGGGCGCACCCCCCCAATCAAATCAAAAAAGTTATCGTTCTCGGGGCAAACGGAGCAACTCAACAAAGGCCCCGTCCACGCTCGCTGTGGACTTCACAAATGTTAGGGGCTCAATTCTAATATCAACGCAGTCCACTACCATTTAGAGACTGCGAAGCCGGCCTTGCTCTTTCTTACCGAGACTCAGATTTCCTCCCCGGCTGATACTTCCTACCTCTCCTACCCGGGGTACAAATTGGAACATTCATTTGTGCCGCGGGCGGGGATTTGCGTGTACGTCAGAGAGGATATCTGTTCTCGTCGCCTCGGGACGCTTGAAGGAAGGGACCTATCTAACCTCTGGCTGCGCGTAGACTGCGATGACCATCCGCGATTCTATGCATGCCTGTATAGGTCCCATAGCGGAAATACCGAAACTGACCAACTCATTGAGCACATCCAAATGGCTACAGATTCCCTGCTCGAAAGGGTTCCTACCGCTGAAATCGTGATACTTGGCGATTTTAACGCCCACCATGCCGATTGGCTCGGCTCAGAAACCACCGATCATGCGGGAAGATCCTTTCACGACTTTGCTTTGGCTTATGACTTGACGCAAATGGTCCCTGCGATTACGCGAATACCAGATGTGGATGGTCATAAACCCTCTTTGTTGGACCTTCTGCTGACTTCACATCCGGAGAACTACCAAGTCTCTGTTGAACCGCCATTGGGTTCATCAGATCATTGTGTGGTCCGGAGCATTGTGCCGTTCACGCGCCCTCTTCGGCCTAGCTTCACGGGCTGTCGCCGCGTGTGGCACTATAAGTCAGCAGATTGGGATGGGATGCGGTCTTTTTTGCGTCCTACCCTTGGGGCCCATTTGCTTTTCGTCGAGTACTCCAGATGCCGTCGCTGACTCTGTCGCCGAGGTGGTCCTGCAGGGTATGGAACTCTTTATTCCATTCTCTGCGGTGCCGGTCGGTGGCAAGTCCCAGCCTTGGTTTAGGCGTTCCTGCAAAGCGGCTTTGCGCCGTAAGCGTGAATGCTTTAAAGCCTGGGCAGAAGCGGTGACATCCTGTGATGTGACTATCGGCGAACGTAAAAAGCATACAATTCAGCCTCCAGGTCCTTCAAGCGAGAAATCGCTAAAGCAAAGTCAGAGCACATTGCCAGATTTGGTGAGAAATTGGCCCACCTCCCTTCGGGAACTCGAGCCTTCTGGTCTCTTGCCAAAGCTGTCCAAGGGAATTTCTGTCAGCCCTCAAGGGTTCCACCACTGCATAGGGAGGATGACTCACTTGCCCCGCGAAAGAGAAGGCCGATCTTCTAGGCTGTCTCTTTGCGTCGAACTCCACTTTGGATGATCAAAGGGAAGGAACCACCGACATTATTGCGGTGTGTACTACGATGCCCGAAGTTATATTCCGGCAACGTGCTATCCGTAAAGCTTTGTCTTCCTTGGACATCCATAAGTCGAGCAGCGGGCCTGATGGCATCCCTCAATTGTGCTGCGTACTTGTGCGCGTTATTTGTGTTTTCTTGTTTTCTGAGTTGGCTCCGGTCCTAACGCGCCTTTTCCGGTACCTTTACACGCTCGGCACTGTTCCGAAGTGCTGGAAGATCGCTTCGATACATCCGATCCCTAAAAAAGGCGATCGCTCTGATCCGTCAACTATCGCCCAATAGCTATAACCTCCTTGTTCTTCAAAATAATGGAAACCATTATTAACAGCCAGCTCTTGAGGTATCTAAGGGCCACCAGCTGATTAGCGATTCTCAGTACGGCTTCCGTCGTGGTCGCTCGGCTGGTGACCTCCTTATACCTTACACATAGGTGGGCAGAGGCATTGAGTCAAGGGAGGCGCTGGCGGTAAGTTTGGACATAGCGAAAGCCCCTTCGATCGGGTGTGGCACAGAGCATTGCTCTCGAAGCTTCCAGCCTGGGTGGTGGGCCCTGAGAAATTATGCAACTGGATTTCCAGCTTTCTCGCTGATCGGAGCATCAAAGTCGTCATCGACGGAGCATGCTCCGACCTGAAAAACCTGTGAATGCTGGTGTCCCACAAGGCTGTGTCCCCTTATCCCCGACCCCTGTTTATTCTGCATATCAATGATATGTTGCAGCTTAGCAACATTCATTGCTATGCGGACATGACAACACTGGGGATACTTTTTACTGGCCGGGCAGGTATCTCTCGGGCTGTTGTCGATGAGTACCGGAACAAACTTGTGTCTGAAGTCGAAACTCTTCTACGTGGAGTCTCGGACTGGGGTAGACTAAATCCAATTTAACCCCAAGAAGACACAAGTATGCGCGTTTTCCGCTAAAAAAACTCCCTTTGTCGCTACTCCCCTCTTTGAAGACACTCTCCTTAAACCCCCCCCCTTAAAGCCTGCTAGCATCGGAATACTGGGCGTTGACATATCGAATAACGTTCAGTTTCGCGGTCATCTGGAAGGAAAGGCTAAATTAGCCTCCAAAAAGCTTTGTGCTCAGCAAGGCGAGACGTACTTCACTCCGGGCCACCGCTTGCAACTATATAAAGCGCAAATTCGGCCCCATATGGGGTACTGCTTCTCACCTCTGGGCGGGAGCTCCCCAGTACCAGCTCCTTCCCACTTGACCGTATTCAACGAAGAGCGGTTCGAATCGTCGACGACCAGTCACTTTCCGTGCGGCTTGATCCCTTGGCGTTGCGTAGAGATGTGGGATCTCTCTGCATCTTCTACCGCATTTACCATGGAGAGTGTTCAGAGGAGTTGTTCGGTCTAATACCTGCAGCTGAGTTTCATCATCGGACGTCAAGGCAAAATACAAAATACCATCCGTATCACCTCGACGTCCGTCGTTCCACAACAGAGCGTTTTCTAAGGCAGTTTTTGCCGCGCACCACCACTATGTGGAACCAGCTGCCCACAGAAGTATTTCCGAACCAATTCGACTTAGGGTCCTTCAAGAAAAGAGCGTACCAATTCCTGAAAGGCCGGCAACGCACTTGCGAGCCGTCTGGCATTGTGAGTGTCCATGGGCGGCGGTATCACTTAACATCAGGTGAGCCTCCTGCCCGTTTGCCTCCTATTACATAAAAAAAAAAAAAAAAAAACACAAGAAATATAATTTTAAATGCCTTTCAGCATACATTATAAGTTGATCTACAACTTACTTGCTAAAATATATTAACCTAGCTTATAAATACAAAAGAAAGAACAATAAAAACAATAACTAACCTTAAAATATAATAACTAAAATATATTATTAAAAGCAGCCCTTTAGGCAAGGTTCCGAAGATGCTGTCAGCGTTCCCCTTTGAATAGCTAGACTAATTCTTTGTCCGAGGTAGCTGCCAGCTCTTCGGTCTCCTGTGATGTCGATTAACCTATTTGCTATTGTCTTCAAAAGCCTTATAGCGCTGGGACCCCACGGACCAAGGGTCTCGACGCCGAATGGGACGTAATCATATTCGGTGGCTAGACCCCTGTATAAAATATTACCATAATCATTTTAAATGTTACACAATATATAATATTAGAGGAAGATTATGTGAGCATGACACACACTGTGGTATAACGGGGCCATAACGATATCTCATAATAGTATAAAAAACATTTCACAGGGCACATGTATGAAGGGTCAATGCAACGGCAGTGACCCGGCGTGCAACTGGTGCCCAGATGGCTACTGCAATAACAACACACATCTCTATATACGACATCTTGGGAAAGGTAAAAAATTTGTATAACTTGATGCATTGGAGAGAGCTTAGTTATTGTTTTTTGAATTAGTACTAAGCGAATCAAATGTTGATAAGTTTATTTACTAGAAGTTCATAAACCATATTTTTGGTACTAAACTGATCAATTAGGTAATTAATGGAGAGTTTAAACGGAATTTTTAAAGGGTTATAGGGAATATATTTCTACGTATATAAGTGTACAGTAACAACGTTACATTATTTTTCTTTACAAGGTTTATCTTTTTTTTCTTAACAATAAATATTATTATTTAAAACCTGATTTCTCGTTAATGTGCGTTTCGGCTCCTTGGTGTCCAGATTACGTATTTAGATTAACAAGTTAGGTCTGCACTAGGTGCTCATTTGACACTTTAACATCACCCTTCATCAATTCTCTTGATTATTTTATATCTTACTTTTGTTGGATGTTTCCTGTAAGTGTCTGCGACATTTGAACTTAATGTAGACAATTAATGTATGAAATTGCCAAACATTTGCTAGCATTTCTCAATTCGTATGTAAATGCAACGAGAAAATTAACAAAAATATTTTGTAATTATTCTGTTTATATATATAAATCTTAGCAGTAGTTACATGTACACTTATAAGTTCGATGGTTATTTCTGTTTACTGTTCTATCAGTTCGCGATGTTTTCCTTCACCACCAAGCGAGGGTAAAATGCGCACTTTTTTATCTATATCTATAAATAAAATCCCAAGTGTACCAGTTCATAAATTCAAGGCCAAGACCCAGAGAGCGTCACTGGCTTTATTGTTTATACACCACATGAATAACCACATGTTTCCATGCGAATTAATAATCCGGTCAAATTAACCTAAAAAATGGGGGTAAGGTTAAAGTAATTCCCCCGTCGCTTGATGGGGGGGGGGCTCCACACAACACTAAAAAAAGAAAGGTGAAAAGTCCCCCTCCCGCCCGCCCCCGCAAAAAATTTTTCCCGGGAAAAAAGAACAAAAAGGGGGGGTGTTTTTTCGGCCAAAGGGAAGGGTTTTTTTTAAAATAAAAAGGGGGAAAAAAAAAAAAGGGGAAAAAAAAAAAAAAAAAAAAACATGTTCTTTTTTTTTCCCCCCCCCCCCCCCGGGGGGGTTTATAACCACCCAAAAAGGGGGGGGGGGGGGGTGGCCCCCAAAACCTTTACCCCCCCCCCCCCCCCCCCCCCCCCCCCCCCCAAACCACCCCACAAACCCCCGGTTTTTTCTTTTTTTTGGGGGGGGGGGGGGGGGGGGGGGGGGGGTTTTTTTCCCCCCCCCCCCCCCCCCCCCCAAAAAAAAAAAAAAAGGAGGGGGGGGGGGGGGGAGAGGAGGAAAAAAAAAAAAAAAAAAAAGGGGGGGGGGAAAGGGGGGGGGATAGGCCTTTTTTTTTTTTTTTTTTTTCCCCCCCCCCCCCCCCCCCCCCCCCCCCCCCCCCCCCCCCCCCCCCCCCCCCCCCCAAAACAAAAAAAAAAAAACCCCCCCCGGCCCCCCCCCCCCCCCCCCCCCCCCCCCCCCCCCCCCCCCCCCCCCCCCCCCCCCCCCCCCCCCCCCCCGGCCCCCCCCCCCCCCCCCCCCCCCCCCCCCCCCCCCCCCCCCCCCCCCCCCCCCCCCCCCCCCCCCCCCCCGCCCCCACACCACCCCCCCCCCCCTCCCTCTCCTTTTTTCCCCCCCCCCCCCTTTTCCCCCCCCCCCCCCCCCCCCCCCCCCCCCCCCCCCCCCCCCCCCCCCCCCCCCCCCCCCCTTTCCCCCTCTCGCGCGGCCCTGCCCCCCCCGGGCCCCCCCCCCCCCCCCCCCCCCCCCCCCCCCCCCCCCCCCCCCCCCCCCCCCCCCCCCCCCCCCCCCCCCCCCCCTTGCTTTTTTTTTTTTTTTTGTTGGGGGGGCTTTTTAACTTACATTTTCAGGTTGGACTCGCCTCACTGTTATCCCTCACGAAGCAACAAAACTATCCGTGCACATCGCCACACCTGTCTCTCTAAACATTGCGATACGTGAGCGTCGCCGAGATAGACCAATACTAGAACTGAGCAAACATTCTAAACGCTTCGATATTGAAACCAAAGAGAACAAATACCTGAAATACGATCCTAACGTACCGCAGAATCTGCAAATAATAGAAGTAGATAGCAATGTCATAGATATTAAAGATGAGAAATATGGTTATGTGGGCGAAGCTATTGCGGCCGGAGGGTTGGTGAAGTGGAATCAGACTGAGAATGAAGTGTTTATTACGTCTGATTCGAGGCTGCATACAGATTTGATGATTATGGTAAGTGATATTAGACTCTAAATTCATCTCAAGATATGGACAAACTCAAGCTTTGGAGTATGCGTTAATTCTATATATCTATGTACATATATATAAGATGCTCAATCAAACAAAATAATTCGGTCACCTGTCCTTTATGAAAAGAATAGAGTTCACGCCTTATTCCACTTTAAGGACAGCTGCATTTTATTTAAAACTGTTTATACAATCGTTCACAAATGTATTTATTTTATCTTGAAATATTATCATAATCATTTTAAATGTTACACAATATATAATATTAGAGGAAGATTAGCATCGCTTACTGTTATGTGGTTAATTCTTTAGTGTCCTAGTTGTACTTAGATATGTTGCTACAAAAATGGTTTCGCTGGGAAACGATGCCTGAGCCTCCAAGTTAAATAAGTCAAATTTCTTCTTAGATAAGTTAAAACTCTTCTTAAATAAGTCAAATATCTTTTTAAATTAGTCACAATTCTTCTTAAAAGTCATATTTCTACTTAAATAAGTTAAATTTCTTCTTAAATAAGTCAAATATCTTATTAAATAAGTCAAAATTCTTTTTAAATGACTCAAATTCTTTTTAAATAAGTCAAATTCCTTCTATAAAGTCAAATGTTTGCATGAAAAATCTTGTTTGTATTAGGTTGTTCCATAAGCTATAAGATTTTAAATAAAATCTTTACGCCATTGCGTTATCCTTCATCACCTAGCTCATGCAGCCACTGAACTGTAGTGACGTTGTTTATTTAAACGATTAATTCAACTAGTAATGGATAAGGTTTATACTAGAATGTGCTAAATCTTGGAACTCGATACCGGCATGTCGTGCATAACTTACGTTAGTTGGTTCAAGTTTAGAATTCCAAGTAACGTGGAAAATCGATACGTATTTAAATAACACATGCAGTATCGTGAGTTATCAGTTTCTAGTTTCAGCTTTTAAAAGAAAAAGTTTTACATTACATCCCGAACAATCCCGTATCATCTCGACGTGCGTCGTTCCACAACTGAGCGTTTTTTAAGGTTTTGCCGCCCACCACCAATATGTGGAACCAGCTCTGAAATATTTCGGAAACAACTCTACTTACGCCCGAACATCTGAGATATAATATTGAATCGAAATTGTAACAATAACCAATCGACGGATTGTAATAGCCATCTGTCGATACAAGCTATACATGGGAGGTCGGAGGTGTCTGTGGATAGACCTTTGTATGAAAATGACAGTTCAGCAGTTCATAAAATTCTACAGATTGTTTGACGGCTGAAACAATCTGCATTTGCAATCCCCCAATTATCTCGGATTACTGATAATAAAATGGCCTTACAATTAATATCTTCAAGTGATAGCGTTAGTGATAGTGATCTGGAAGTTCTAGGATTATTATTAGTGTCCATCAGAGGGCGGCGATATCACTTAAGGGGGAACCTCCTGCCCGTTTGCCCCCTGTTCTATAAAAAAGCCGATAAGTTTTTACTTGTCATATGAGTTTAATAGGTCAAGTCAGGCTTGACATACTCAATAATATAATCTCTTTGTAAACGAACAACTTGACGAATTAAGAGTGGCAGAGAGATATATAGTTTATGAATTTTGATTAAAAGCTTTGGAAACGAAGCCGGTGAAATGTTTATTTTATTTTTTTGATTATTTACAACGATTTTCGATAACTTTCCATCAATCAAGAAAGTCTTAACCTCTTTTATTCGTAAAAATACTTGCATATTAAAGACTATTTTCATACAATCCCTCGGGAAATTAGCTGGAGATTATAAAAATAACAAAAGGACAGCGTGTGACGAAGGACGAGGGTTAAGCTCAATTATTCACAAACACTTTCCGAGTACAACTTAATTGCCGCGCTTTTACTCTCATTTAATGACGCCTTTTAGCATTAACGCTACATTCACTTTGAATATCTTTTAAACTATCGAGGATCTGAACGGGTAAAAGTCTAGTCAAAGTTTCAAAATTCTTACTTTTTATCGTTGACTTATCCATCCATTAGTTTAGTACTGAAAGGCTATATGTATAATAATAATAAATGTAATGTGAATTCATCGTTATTCGTGTCTTTGCTGCACATTTGTGTATTATTTATTTTATAATACTTTTGCTAACATAATTAAGAGAAAGATGCAACAAGTTAATTGTAAAAGATGGCAATAAAAAAGAAGGGGCAGTACCTTTCTTCACGGTCATTCTCGTCCGTTCTACTCCTTCATCTTAATTGTAATACTACGCTTTCCACCATTGTCTCTTTATTATTTATCAGATTGGCAAGAGACCAACAATGTCACCCATCTGTCTGCTCACGTGTGACTTAAATATAAATGTTTCTAGGCTATACCAGAACAACCAGCAGTTACAGAACATATATTATCCGTGGAAGTGGCTGTCAACTACAGTACCCCAGCCTCTCGGACTCGCCCTATGGAGTACAGGTATTGGCCCTTAAACTTCGATATTTTCGCGTCTTTATAACATGAATACGGATACGTACTCACGTCAGTGTTAATACTTGTTACGGTTTATTTTACCGTAAAAGTGAACATAGACAATTCACTTTGACGGTAAAATGTTACTGATCATTATCAAGGCATTTTTTTAAATGGCTGAGCACGGTGAGCAAGTAGTGCTTATCTATCAAACTGTAATAGGTTGTATTTTCTTGGTTAGATGCTAAGCGAGTGATCAATTAAAAAATATATTGAAATCTTGAAAAAGTTGACTTAAATTAAATGCATTTGTCCTACACGTTTCATATGAGTTGAAACCTCATAGTAACAAATATCAAAAAACTTTACTCCAATATTGAAGTATGAAAAAATCATATAATATTTATAAGACTAAATTTTGGACTTAGATTATAAAACGAACAGACCTTCTCGCCAATACAAATTGGACTAAATAACTGTTAGCCAATCACTTTCCATGTTTTCTCGTTTCCCTGTAATTTATAAAAGCCTTTTAAATCCCTGTAACATAAAATTTCTCCTCTAGCAATAAAATGGTTACGAAGCTTTTCCACTAACTGAAAACTAATTTTCTCGACCAAACTGCAAGTTGTCAACAAAGCGAGAAAATTCTTTCGTTTCAAAGATTCCGTTTTTAAAAACCTTCGCTACCACGACTACGTTCTGTCATTTATAAAGATTGCACAAAGTGGTTTCCTCGTCTCGTTATATTAAATCTCTTAATACACAATGTGCGTTTAAAAATTTATTTATAGATACATGTAGACACAGCAATACGCTACAAATTTACAGTTTTATGACGATGGATAGTAGTATACAAAAACGTTTGACCCCAAGGGCGACAGGGGGACAAGCACCCAACCCCATAAACTTGAGGGGATGAGCTGTTATGGCCTGCCGTTAAGTTTAGCCCTAAATTGTACATTCGGAGCGTGTAAAACTACTCGAACCTACTGAAAAATGATGCAAATAAAGTTGTTCCAAAAAGAAAAAAGGCTGAAAGAGATAAAAAAAGTTTCGAAAAATATAATTTTTTTCTCGAAGTACTGAAGCCTTAACTTTCTATCTTAGCATAAAAGTACTGGACCAAAGTTGCATGAGAATTAATTTGCAACAAAAATGGTAAAATTTTTATCAAATAAATAGTTTAGAGATATTCATAAAAACCGTTTACTACTATTTTCAAGATGGCGGCCGTGGAAAGGGTGGACCCAATTGTAGATTTGCCCTAATCAAAAAATAAAATTCTCTTAAAACAAGGTTAGGCCTAAATGTAACATTTCAATGGACTAAATCTGTTAATACACAATGTCAAAAATTAGTATAGATTCATACTCCCTTCAGTTCATTGAGGCAGGTACCTAAAGGGCAGATAATTGAGGGGATGGGTGTTCATGGCCTGCCGTAGTAGCCTTTTATGGCCAATGCCCAGGCTCGTCAGTTAGCGGGAAATCGAACCAAAAAAATTACCCACGAGTTACACACCATGAACTTAAATCGTGGAAGAGATAGAATAGTTGTATAGGTACCGCAAGCCCGAAACTCTATCTATTACGTATTTTACGAATAAGTTCACTGAAACGTTCAACACATTTTGCTTAATTGGATATTTTATATAAAAAATTACATATTTAAATGAATATATATTTTAGCCATTGTTGGGTGTGACAGAGAAAGAGTAAAAGTAGAATAAATGTCGTGAAAATTATAGCGTTAAGAAGTGTGTGTCATTGCGTGATAGGATAAATAATAGTGAGGTGAGTTAAGTTAGTGAAAAGAGGACGTAGTGACAAGGATTCTAAAGTGAATGCTTAGGTGATGTGGCCATTTAGAACGAATGAATGATAAACGGTTAACAAGTAGGATATACATAACCGTGGGTGGTAAAGTTGGATTGGGTAGACCTTGTATATATTCTTTCAAATCCAGAACGTACCGTAAAAGTACCCATAATTGACGAAGAAAGTGGATGGGAGGAAGATGTATCAGGACCGTTGCAAGTGGAGATCCGAGATCTCAAACTCAAAATAATTTTATTCATATGATAGGTACGAACTACACGTATTAATAGAATAATGAATGAAAATTACATTACCAATTCGCCTCGGCAAGAACCCTTCCCTTTTTTTTTTTTAGATGACAAGTTTCGAGTCACACAAATGGTTTGAATTTTAGCAAATCAATCCCAAAGGATTAGAATTAAATAATCGTCGTCTCTTGATTATAATGGAGACTATTGTAGTTCAATTAACACTTTTCTATCACTCACATTAGAATTATAGCTTTTCTCATATAACTTCGATCCTCAAACTTTGCGACAATATGACTTTAATACCGTCGACGTAGGAATTTATAATTTAAAGAGAAATAGTTTGTGACATCGCTTTAGTTAGGTTCTTTCTTCAACTTCTCAAGTTAAAGTTTATATTTATTGGATTTCGGAGATGCGGAAGTTCGTAACAACGGCAAAGGGAATAAAATATACGTTTGAATTCTCTGTAATTTTTACGCAATCAATTATAATTTTAAGGATGTCACAATTTTTATCCTGCCATTTAATGATAGACACCACCGCGTGGCAAGACAATCCCATCTGGTGATTCATTTTGGGGGCCATCGGAAGAAGATCGCCACTTTCTTCAGTTTAGTTTTACGTAAAATTTGAACTTTGAGGGTCTCAATTACACGTTGATATGTCCCAAATATGACTATATGCCTCCTGTCTCAGGTGAGAGAATGGTCAGTAGTCCCAACGCTTACATTCTCCATAAAACATAGTATCTCTTGGGCACCCTTGGGTCCTGCCACCCTATTGTAACGCCACTGGGTAGACATGGAGAAACTACAATTCTGTGCTTTGTACAAGGACATTTAATTTGTAACACTATGCACCTAAACGAAAAGAACATCGCGTATGAACCATTTTTTTTCAAGATATTGACCTTGTGTATCAAACCCACAAATTGAAAAAACTCGAAGAATTCCTTTACTCGACATCTCCATTAAAAAAGCCTTGAAGACAGACTGAAACTTACCCAAGCTACAACCTTTTTAGGTCTGGGCCTCAGATTTCTGTATCTGTTTCATGATCATTTGTCAATGTAACAGGCGAGTAGGGGATCAGCCTCCTGTGCCTAACACACGCTGTAGACTTTTTGGCAAGCCAAGCTGATTTCCTCACGATGTTTTCCTTCGCCGTTCGAGAATATGTTATATGCGCACTTAGAAAGAGTCCATTGGTGCACAGCCGGGCAGCGAACCTACGACTTTAGGGATCAGAGTCGCTCGCTAAAGCCACTCAGCAAATAATGCCCTGCAATAGGGATTTATTTTACTAATACCTAACTATTTTTATCTTCTGTTCTGGACCTGTTTAAGAATATTATCCAATGGTTAATGTGAACTTTAAATGTACATTTATGAAAATGTCAGTTGGAGAATTTGCAATATCCAGGCTTTAAAAGTGTATGAAATACAATTCTTATTTTCCACTCCGTCGGTAATTTAATTTCTCGTACAATATATTTTACGAAAGTTCAACACTCGTATGGTTTCACAGAAATTCACGTTCACATTTTGCCTTTTTTCAGCTTTTACATAGATCTTAATTAAAATGTTTATCTAAATGAAAAACTATAATTAAATTTATATAAAAATAATATGAATTATCAAATGGTTACATGATTTTTTATAGGGTTTACGTCAGTTCATATGGTGCTATTCTATTTTATAGACAAGTAGATGATCATGTGTCTGACACATGTCGGTTTCCTCACGATGTTTGCCTTCACCGTCGGAGCAAGTGCTTAAAATGCACGACCCCAGAGATGAGGGCCCCATACTTAAACCAATAGACCTATACTACTCAGTTCAGTTTGCAGTAATAATTGAAAATACTTCTTCTATTAGGGTGTAATGGCTAGTAATTCAAATCAAATAAATAAATCACTATTTCTAATGTAATACTTTATTATTTTCCGTAATAAATGGGCTATTTTTGGTTATATAATTATATTTTATAGCAGTTTCTTTGCCTTAATTACTGGCCGCTAGGAAATTTTTGGTGTATGTCATAAATATATACGTAATGTTAAAGAACAGTAGATCTTAGCCTTTCATCGCTTGCTTTCAAAGAGATACAGGAAAGCTGTTGTCGTCGCCAGTGAGCACTGATGCCAGCAGAGATATTAATGTAGACTAATTTACAATAAATCACATTGGCCCTTAATATCACCCGCTCATCGTCCACGATTTATGCGAAACATATTACGCAGAGTTGAAGATTCTGAGACCTAACATATAGTTACACATTCACACACCTTACACTAACTCACACACTCACAACATATATACTCACTCACTCATGCAATCACAACATTTGTACCCCACTCACTCATGCCAATCACGCGTGTTACAATTGCGCGTATATCAGTTTCGTATTCGGGATATTATAAAGTAAAAAATTAAAAAAAAGTATCCACGATAATATGTGTAACGTGGTATTTTTGTTATGGGAACCCTGATATAAGTATTTTCTTACTTAAAGGGATCTAACAACTGTCGCATTTAACATATAACCAATAAAACAAAATACTTCGGGTCTTTTAATATATACCAACAGCTAGTACACTAGAGCTTCAAACCCTTAAGAGATTATGTACTGTCTCTCCTATAAAATATGTTAGCTTAGATAATTAACAACTTTATTTATTTAGCTGTTAAACATATATAGTAGAGTTCAGATTGAGGGCTCCCTAGAAAATCAAAGACCTGTGACAGGGAAGCTTCGCTCTTTAATTAACATGTTTTAATTAATAGCGTTTCATATACTTAAGTTACAGTTTTGATTTGGAATATAGAATAATTCACTTAACATCACTTAGTTACTTAATATAGACATATAAAGATAATATTAGAATCACAACTATTGCATAACAATCACTATTGTTCTTTTATATAATTTGTGTGTTTTCTTTGTGTTAACCTATTTAATCGACTAAACTATTTTTATTGCAACTAAATGTGAATAAATAAATCAATAAATAAATAGTTATAAAAGAAACAAAAGTGCGTCGATGTAACGTGTAAACATTGTAACAAAATTTTTCTCTTCTTGGTGAGACGTAACATTAATGTAGTAGTATATTTAATTAGAAAAATTGTTTAGATGGTCAAGCGATCGTGGCCCCTGTTCAGTGTCCTGTGGTGGTGGTGTCAGGATGGTGAGGCCGCGTTGTAGCCGTGGTCAACATTGCGGAGCGCCGCGCTACGAGCGTTGCAACACCCACAGGTAAACAAGTTCTGGGGCAAGGGGCTTCAGATAAGTCATACTCAAATGTGACTGGGGCGGTGACGTTGTGTGGCGGGTCGTTTAATTTCCTCAAATATGATTGAGTAAAACGAGCTGGCTCACACGTCATGCTTGTGAACAGGTGCCGGAAATGGACTGCGAGGTTCCTGTTCAGTTTTGTAATTTAAAACAAATAAAGAGTGAACCGTATCTCCCAACTTCTGCTTTCTTCTATCTCCGTTTGTCATAGTCAATTTGTATGATAATTTGAGATTTTAAAATAGTACCGAGAATTTTTTACGCCGGCTTTTTCTCTGGGCCTACACCCTCTGTCTTCTTTGCCGATGAGTAGGGATGTCTACCGATTTAATGACGTGGAATAAGTGATACCTGTATCTTATATTCCATAATAAACATATTTTATTTATAAAGTTACGTTTCGACAGACATGACCCATTAACGCCACTCGAATTTGTATGAAAATGGTCACGTGTCAAAGCTAAAATCATTTCGGATTAATACCTGCAGCTGAGTTTCATCATCGGACGTCGAGGTAGAATACGAAATTCCACCCGTATCACCTCGACGTCCGACGTTCCATATCTGAGAACTTTTACAAGACCGTTTTTGCCGCGCACCACCGCTATGTGGAACCAGCTGCCCACTGAAGTATATCCGACCCAATTCAACTTAAGGTCCTTCAAGAAAAGAGGGTACCAATTTTTAAAAGGCCAGCAACACACTCGTGAGCCCTCTGGCATTGAGAGTGTCCATGGGCGGTGAGTATCACTTAAAATCAGGTGAGCCTCCTGCCCGTTTTTATTAAAGCGTTTCCCCATTCTAACGTGACTGGCGTCAGAATGTCTAGTTATTTTTTTCTATAGGTATTATGAGTAACAAATAAATATCTTTCAATTATATATTCTCCATATATGATAACAATTTCACAAATCCATACTTAAGCCTCGACTATACATCAAACGTCCGCCGCAGTCCTAAATAAATAAACGGAAAATAACTGCGGGCTTGGAAAATACATGTTTAATATATTTCCTTTTGTAATAGGTGTCTTTGTGAAGAATATTACTAGTTACGAATATATTTTATATATTTTTTAATATATTATGTTACTTAACATGTAGCTTTTAGAGTCAGCCACAACCTGGTGCAGCTTACTTTCTATTTTCGCTATACAAACTGTAAAAAAACGTCATGAAGAATTATAATAAAAACTATACTCTGATTTTTATTCCGTAGAATTCTGACAGCTATAATTTTTTGACATGGCAGAGATAACAAACCTCGCATAGGCACATTTTTCAATTTCAATACTTTTTGGTCGTCCCGCAAGCTCGTTTGCCCCCCTATTATATAAAAAAAAATAAAAAATAAAGAGTCAACATCTGACTCTGTACAAACATTTTATTTGTAAGTGAATGTATATATTTTCGTCGTCGTTTAAATATTTATTACGAAGTCAAATAAAACATTGAATTCATATACAATATGTATAATAAAAATACAGCTTTACAAGAGTGGTTTCGCTTACAAGATTGAATTTCAATGAAGTATCAAGGTGACTCAAGACGACGCGTCCAATCGAATATATTGTTGAGGAACGAGTATTGCCTTTGCTTTATATACATTTTGTAATCCTATACGCTTTTACCATATATTTATAGAACAGGTATAATTTTATATTAATGGCTTATTATTGCTTGGCTTTTTGCCGTGTGTTTTCAAGGGGACAATGATTAAAAAAAACTTTTTTTTTTCACTCTTTATTACGCGGGAGAGTATTGAGACAATAGTTTTTGACAACCATTATAAAACTTAACTGTTCTTATTATTATGACATAATGATAATTAGTATGACATTCACACTTTCTTTCTATGTGTTCATTTAACATTTGCTCGAACGGTGAAGGAAAACATCGTGAGGAAACCGACATGTCATAGACCCAAAAAAGTTGCCGGTGTCGGGCACTGGAGGCTTATCACCTACTTGCCTATTAGATTTCAAAATGATCATGAAACAGATTCAGAAATCTGAGGCCAAGACCTAAAGAGGTTGTAGCGCCATTGATTCTTTCTTTACGTTTCATTAGTATGGCAAATACATTTAACCACAAATATATTTAAATCTCTGATAAATGAAATTTTATAAGTTTGGAATAAACTACTTTGATGGTCTGCCTAAAGTCTAAACAATGGTCTTAAAAGCTGTCACCATCGGACATGATCGCGTCCACTATGTAGTTTAATTTAAATTTACCTCATTCGTCTGGCTTTAAAATCGAGTTACTGTCGACATAACCACAATGAAAATTAAATTTGATTTCATGGGAAATCATGGTAGGACAACGGACATCTGTTTTGTTATTTTAGACGAGGCTTGCTATAATTTTGTATTTACAGTTTTATGTTTAATATTACGGTAGCTAAATTAATCACTCGTGCACTGATATTCCTCTTTTAGCTCGATTAGAAAATATAGCTAATAATAATAATAATAAATCGTTTATTTGCAAAGAAAGTGGTATTCAGATTGATTAATTATAAAAATAATCAGCCATAGTAAAATAGGCATGCAAATGTCAAATTAATTATAATAATAACATTTAAGTCGTTTATATTTGTTGTCAAAAGTTATGATCTAATCTCTCACAATATAAAGGAACATTGCCTTTAAAAAAATAATCAAATCGGTGTGATAAGTATATTTAGACTTTTGTAGTCTTATCTGCACAGGTATCGCTGAGATATAAAAATACAAAAAACATAGAACCCCAGCCTTGACTTACAAAAACAAACGGATGAAATTTAAACAAACTTGACTTATCAGAACGAAAATATTATTAAATAGAGAAGATGTTTCAACTGTCTGATCTAAGTACTTTTACGCCAAACGAGTTCCCTTTAATTATACAGTTTTTTTACTAAGGAAAGGTACACTAGTATTGTGTTCCTACACTAATGTCCAGTTTTAAATTAAAAGTCACCCAAAACCCATATCACAAATAACAGAAAATTCCGTTAATATTAATATTTTTGGCAGTTGCTCGTTTAAATGGGTGGGGGCTGGGTGGGAGGAGTGCAGTGCCACCTGCGGGGATGGCGGTGTTCAAGAGAGACAGCTGTTCTGCGTGCCGGTTAACGTCAGGTAACGAGACAACTTTGAGCTCCAACTTGTGCGATCAATGCTATTTTTAACTTCAAAAGCTTTATTCACGGTCTTTTATATAATATTCCTTATGAAAGGCAGGGGTCATCTGTTTATACAGCTGTATATAATAAAAGACTCTTTTATAAATAAACAAATATGTATACGTTTGCAATGCAACTACAAACTCCTGAAATTTTGACGGACATTTCAACCCACATAAGCACAGATTAATTAATATGAACAATATAAAGATTATTATTAATACATTATATATTTTTATTGAAAGGTTGCAAGTGTATAATCAATATACTGGTCGAGATTACTGTAAAAGACTCGTAACGTAAACGGCAAAAAAGCTTTAATAAAAATGTTTTTACTGTTAGTATTGTAGCGGTTGTACACATTTATTTCGCACATATTTCTAGTACAATGAAAATATGTCATTGATTTTACACGCTCTTTCAAAAGCATAAAATATGTTAATGTGTGCTTCGTTTCACCAAACCGGGGCCACAAAATACTATTCAATAAATTCTTTATATTTGTGACATCATCATCGTCACTGTAAACAACTCTTAATCTGTGACTAACACCGAGCTATATGGCTTCCAATAGTTAATATGTATTTTATAGCAAGACACGCCCATAACGTTTAATCCCTATATACGAGCTATTTATGCAAAAGATCAAATTATTCTAGGGAGGGAAAGGATGTTAACAATTTTGACACCTTTGCAAATTCTGTTTCAGTACATACACACGCAGAGAGCTGATACGACGTAGCGTTTCACCAGCGTTATGTCCACCAACTGTCCCTGCTAAGATACAGCCATGCAATCGGCTGCCTTGTCCTGTCTACTGGCAAGAGATGCCTTGGACTCAGGTACTCTTCCTCCACTATTATGTTCGGAGATGTCGCTATTTTAATTAACTATAAGGAAGAAGGGAACACGACTTTGGAATTCTGTATTTAAAATAACTCTCTTTTGTATGTTTTCTTGTCGAGTTTCTCGCTAATGCAGGAAAATCCGGCCAATGTTCATATTTCATATATTTGGTATAATTTAATTGCCAACTTTTAAGTACAATGATATTGTTATTAAATGGCTTAAGTAACTCCGGTCTCCAAGACATCGTCATCATCAATGGTTATACAGCCCATTGTTGGCCTTAGCATCCTCAAGTACACTACGCCATCGTAATATATCTAGTGCTTCCCGCGTCCAACTTTGAACCCTTATTGCTTCGAGGTCCTTGACAACTCCATCCCACCAACGCAGCCTTGGTCTACCGGGTTTTCTCTTGCCACCGGGTTGTGAGTTCAGTTAGGACCTTGGGGTTCTATCGTCCGGCGTTCAGTGCTCATGAAGGTCTCCAAGTATAGTGTTATATATTCTTTTAGAGAAATAACTTAGCTTATATTTCTTTTTCAGTGTTCAACAACATGTGGTCGCGGTGTGTCTATACGGCCACTAATGTGTCCCGCATCAGACGAGACACACTGTGGCTCAAAGCCTCGAGAGCGGCGCAGGCGCTGCCGGCTTCGAAGATGTCCAACAAGGCCCGCTTGTCCAGCTAACGATACAACGCAATACTGCGAGCTCTTCACAAGAGACCAGCTAGAACGGAACTGCGTTGTACCACCATTTAGAAAGTATTGTTGTAACGCTTGTAGGTCAATTGAAACTGGTTAATATATTATCTATACATTGAAATATATTTTATAATAGTACCTAAAATTTTTGATACAATATTGGCAACAACAACAAATTTAAAACATCTTTAGCAGATATAAACTCTAGATATAATAACTTAACTAAACAAATGAGTAACAACAGTTTCAGCAAGTTTCTTGATTTGGTGTTAAGTATATATCCGTTAAAGAAGTTAGTTATATGAAAAAACGGTCCGTCATCAGTTAAAAATAGGTACATTGCATCCCAAAGAATCGATATTGTACAAAAGCAAATTAAGTTTTAAGTCACTAATAGCCAATTTTAACCTTAAAGAATTGACAAGAAGGATACAAAATGTAATGCATAATATCTTATTGTTTTATCTGACTCTATCAATTTGTCTATGGGTTTACATTCAGCTCCCGTCTCTAAACAGTATTCACTTCTCTGTTGTATAATTAAGTTATTTATAAGTAGATTTAAGTTTGTAACTTCTTTGTAACATGGCATAAGCGCTATCTGTCAAATGTAATCGGGAACAAAGTGCCATAACAGAACTCGACAATAAATATGCTAATCTCCTAAACGGTGATATTTATTTTCGTGAAAGTCAGAAGTTGATGAATATTTCATGAAAGCCAATCGGATCTCGATAATCCTATCTCTTGTAAAATTCGGAATCTTTTTATGATAAATAACCAGTGTCGTGAAACCGGCGAACCGAGAAAAGTCTTTTTTCTTTAATTCAAAATAACGTTTGCGTTTTTGACGAGCTTATAAGCTAAACAATAATGTTACTCAAAAGGATAAAGACGCCAGGAAGAAATAAGTTACAATAAAATCATTACACTTCCATTCATTTTAGTTTTTAGTAATGTTTTGCATATTGTTAAGCAAAAAAATACTACCAAAATAGTGGATTATGTATTAGATAAACACTTGACAATGCTTTTTTGTTTAATCGATCAGCCCACTACTGAATATATCAAGCTCTGGATAAGTAGTGTTTATTCTATTCGCGAAGAATACGAATAAGAGGTGGCTGAACTCCTAGGTTAGGAAAATCCTGGTGATTTTTATCCTTGGGACATAATGTCCCAATTAGACAAGAAATTATGACACACTGACGTATCCTCCACAGCGTTTAACGTAACACTTTAAGTAGAACAAAATACTTTTCAATCCCATTCTGTTTAATGACTTTCCTTTGAGCTTTCAATTCAATAAAATGATTTACAGCGCACAATGAACTGAAACAATGTCCAATCGTTTTCAGGTGTCCATTGATTTTACGACAGAACCATAAAACAATTGCGCGCTATTTTAAACTCTAAGTGCACATAAATAAGATTTACAATAAACTGTGATTTACGTACACCGTCAGTTGTAAGCAAACGCAATGAAAATTCGCCGCTCAAAGGAAAGTGCTCAAAGAGAAAATTCCGATACTCTATACTTTAAAAGTACCTTTGGCATATCCTTTTTTCTAAGATAAGCACTGTGGATTACTCGGGGTGAATATATTATGGATAATTCTATGCGGGTTTATGTTCAAAGTACCGTAACCAGAAACTACACGTTATTTTTTTTATTAAAAGGCCTGCAACACTCTCGCGTTGAATGTCCATGGGTAATATCACTTAATATCAGATCCGTTTTTTGTTCCATAAAATAGATAATCTTAAATGTCGGAAATAATTATTTTTGGTCGCGAAAAATGTCACTTATATGCAAATAGCAGTGTTTAGCGTGCAACGCGTAACATAGTGGCTAGCGTGCGACTTTCATCTTTAGAGGCGTAGGTTCGATTCCCGACTGTGCCCCAATGGACTTTATGTATATGTGCACATTTAAAACTCAATCGTACGGTGAAGGAAAACTTGCCTATTAGAAATGATCACGAAATATATATAGTGATCTGAGGCCCAGACCTAAAAGGTTAAGCTATTGGTATATGCAAAATGTCAGCAAGTTTTTTTCACATAGTTATATTATGATTTATAAAGTCGCGTCTAAAGACTTTCTTGGAGTCGCGTAACCGTACCAAAATATTAATTATTTCACCGGAAATTAAATTCTCGCTCTGGGCTATGTTACGCGTGGCCAACTGTTTAATTATTTATTTAAATTCAGCAGAACAGAATTGCCTGACATTCATGAATACGTTTAGTGATAGTTTTGGTATTCTTGCTTTTTTGGGGCAAACGGGCAGAAGGCTCACCTGATGTCAAGTACCACCGCCCATAGACGCATATTAAGAATTGGTATGCTCTTTTCTTGAAGGATCTTGTGTTGAATTGGTTCGAAAATACTTAGTGAGCAGCTGGTTCCACAAAGTGGTCGTGTGCGGCAGAAACTGCCAAACGCTCAGTTGTGAAACGACGGACGTCGAGGTGATGAGGGGGGAATTTCGTATTCTTCGACGTCCGATGATGAAACCCATCTGCAGGTATTAAACTATTATGTCTCTAATACGTTCACTTCGTTGTAATGGTGTGACAATTCACCAATCCTTAAAACTAAATAAAGATATCTTTTTTTTTCCTTTTAATGAAGAAGAGAACATCACTTAAGATTAACGCCACAAATGATCCCAATTAGTAGTTATTTGGAATTTGATTCGGCTCTTACATCAAACATGTACGAAATGGTCATTCTCTTCTCAAATTATTTAACAGCCCTAAAAATTTAACTCTAAATAGGCTAAATCAGTTTACAGTTTACACTATTGCTAGAGTCATTCATATGTAATAAGAGAAAAACACCGTATTATTCCGTGTTTCATGTGGTATCAGAAATTTTAAAGATAAATAAATCAATGGCGCTACAAATGTCTGGTGGGCCTTAGATTTCTGTACCCGATTCATGGTCATTTTGTCAATCTAATAGGCAAGTAGGTGATCAGCTTCCTGTGCCTGACCTGACTCGCCATCGACTTTTTGGGTCTAAGACAATCCGGTTTCCTCACGATGTTTTCCTTCACCGTTCGAGCGAATGTTAAATGCGCACATAGACAGAAAGCCCATTGGTGCATCGAGGATCGAACGTATGACCTCAGGGAAGAGAGTCACGCTGAAGCCACTAGGCCATGTAATTAAAATATACTTAGATAATGAATTTAGCAATTTAACATACATTTTACGCTTTACTTTAACTAATTATGCCCAGATCAAACCAAAACTTATTCAGAAAATTACGATTCGTAATTACTTCAAACCCTTACCTTTTTTAATGATTTGAGAAAGTTTGAAATTTATGATTCCGGGAAGACAGACAAGTTTCTCGTTTTGATATTTAATTTACGAGAATGAATTGCTTTTGAGCTCTTTCCGTTTTTATAACATCAGGGTTATATTAAAATATATCATAATAATCACTCAAATATAAGTGTTTTATCATATATAATTGCTTTTCACCTTTAAAAAATATACTTTTATTTAGTAATCCTACAGCTAACATAAATTAATACAACAAAAAACAATGACTAACCTTAAAATATAATATTGAAAGGAGTCCCTTTAAATTATTAATTATTACTAAGGGTCTTACTCCAAAAATTAATTAACTGCTTTTACAACTTTATCAAATTAGGAAGTAAATCAAGATCATTAAAATTGAATGAAAAAAGGACTTACACTTCTAAAAATAATTAAATGCTTAAATGTTTAACTTGCTGTACATATTAATAATTAAGAAATAAATAAAACTAACACGCTTAACTTAATATATATATTATATTATTTGTGAGTGTCCATGGACGGCGGTATCACTTAACATCAGGTGAGCCTCCTGCCCGTTTGCCTCCTATCACATAAAAAAAAAAAAAAAAAGGACAGGACAAAGAAGGGAGAAGAGGTAAGGAATTAAGTGGAGAAGATTGGGAGAAAAATGCTTAAGTCGGAGAGAGATGGAGCCAACTGGAGGAGGGATATACATATAACAATAACAATAATAACTTTTAGAATAGAACTTTTCAGAGCAGGCTGAAATGTGATTTCTGACCGTTTCAGGAGAGGGTCAATCACGTATTAGAAAATCGTAATTTACATAATGTTACCCTAGTTTTCAGGAGGATGAAACATTTTTTCAGGCCGTATCAGAACAAGTGTAGTCGAGTGGTACACTTTTCAGGAAACCCGTTTTCAGGCGTTTTCAGGCATGGTTTTCTAGGTGTGGGACAAGGACGGAATGATACGAGAGAGAGACGGAAGATCGGAACCTTCTCGAAGCTAGACCGAGCACTCTAGAACACCGTACGACAAGGACGGAGCAATGTGAGAGAGATAGCGAGTACGCAAGTTCTAGAATTGTATGATCGCTACTCAGTAGCGCTCCCGCCTAGAGAGTTCTCGAACATCGCTCAAGACTATTCCCAGGGATATATTATAAGCGAGCCGAAACGCGACCAGTTAGTTCAGTTTTGAATGCGATATCAAGAGATAATCACCCAATAAGTGACAAAGTGCGAATATGGTGAAGACAAGTGATAAAGTACTGTGTGAAGTGCGTGTCATTAAAGTAATTAGTGACAGTTTTTTGTGTGTGTATTTAGTGGATTTTTGTGCATAATTTCCAGTTTTTAGTGTAAACAAATTCCTCGTAGAATTAATTGAAAATAAACCCTTGAAGAAATCTACGACGTTTCTATCCGATCCCCTAGCTCGTAACAATATATAAATAAAGCATTTTTATATTTGCCAAAATAAATATTAAATCAGGCCCTATGTATAAAGAAGCTGTTGATATAATTTTATCCCTATCATAATAACACTGAATGAGGTTTCTTTGGCTTATTCAAATTATCCAAGGGCGTTGATGAAGCAATTAAGATTAGCATAAATAAACAAAACTTTGAGAGTTCATCGGAGAGTATAACAAAATACGAGAAACATTGATGTATAAACAATAAATTCAATTTGTATGACAGATAGTTTCGAAATAATTAAACCAAGAACAACGCTACTGAGTCTAGTTATTGTTCATTGAAATGTTACATGGGCTGAACATTTGTTAGAGGA